CGCGCTGCCCTGTCTCCTCCCAGACAGGAAGTGTGCTGCGGCAAACGTGGGTCCTGATTGGTGGGACAGGACGGCCGCGTCAGCTTATAGGGCCCGACTTACAGGAAGTGCATCTTCCGCAAGTAATAAATACTCAGAATTACACTAGTCTGCCAAGTAAATTAGATGGAAAATGTAACTAGCTTTCCCTCCTAATAATACTGTAGGTTTCTATCTCTCTTCTAATCCTATATGCCTTGTATTAGAATGTAGAGGGTGAAGCTCCTGGGAGTTTTACTTGCACAAAAATGTTCTGAGGGCAGAATGAAAAATAACCAATCAGATTATAGAGGAGGTGGGTCCAAACTAGAGGAGGTGGGATCAACCAATCAGATATCTTGGTCCCGCCTCCTCTAGTTGCTGGGACCCCACCTCCTCTACAATCTGATTGGTTGAGAGGGAGAATAAGATGCTCACCGGTCTCCTTGCTCGTCAGCCTGGACAGAGCCGCCAGCAGCGCTTCCTCAGGTCCTTGCAGCTCCAAGCAGCAGTAGTACGACAGGTCCTGTTCGGGGTAACCAATGAGACGAAAAAGCCCCACTTTCACAAATGTTTAAATTGCTTTATTACCATATGAAACTCCCCCCACAGTAAAATACCACACTCCTATTCATCCTCCATCCTTCCATACCAGTCATGCATCTGACCCCTCTTAAGAGGGACAATGATATAGTCTTTATGCTCATGCCCCAAAAACAGATTCTGCCCCTCTGATTAAAGGGTGAATCCCAAGACTACAGCTATACACTTGAGTTTTTCGCCCCCCCCCCCCCCGAGAGAGAGACGCAGGCTGACCTGCAAGAGGCAGTGTTGGCTCATGGCCCTGTAGCAGGCGCGGTAGCACTTGTAGGTGGGCCGGTCGCCGAGGCAGTAGCCCCACCGCTTTACCATGTGGAAGCGCTTGGCGTGCCAGATGTGGGTCTCCAGCCACACGTTCTTCCTCTGCCGCCGGTTGAACTCCAGCAGCAGGTTGCCATGGCGCCGCCGGGCCTTGCGACTCTTCCTCTTCGACAGGTCCTTCTTCTCCTTGTGGCCCGCCTGCCTGCTCTTCTCCATCTGGGGAAGGGGGACGGAGGAGAGGACACTCAGTGCTGGAGTCTCACGGTGGAGCTTCATGGAGCGGCAGGAACATGCGACGCTTAAGGCTGTGATTCCAACATGTAATGTTAGAGGGGAAAATTACACAAGGCACAGATGTTAAGGGTATGATAGAGACACAACGCGAAAAACATTCCCTCACTCACACAAGAAAGGCAATTTAGAGTTAGGAATTCACCTGTCGGAGAAAATCGAGAACAAGGCATATTAGTTACATTCTTTAAGTCTGACTTCTTATTCTGATACCTTATACATGTTTATTGTGGTTGTCTGTGTGTAACTTCGTAAGTGACCTTGCAGAAACACCCTGACGTAGGGAAACATTTCTGTCTTATACCTTAAAGAAATTATACAGGAGGCAACGATGTAACAACTGCTAATAACAAATTTTCCATTATCAATGTAATAAATGTCGATAATATAATAACTGGTCAATAATGTAATTCAATTTCTGAACCAATGGCATAACTTGTCGCCGACAATGCAATAAGTTATAATGTTATTAGTCAGTTATTACATTATCGACTTTCATTACATGACGAACAGGGAAATTTATTATGTTATTGGCATTTTATTACATTATTGGCTACAAATGACAAAGAACCTTGAATGTACAGAGGAGGCACCAACAGAAGAGGCAGCTGACAGGCAGCGGGGGCGGGGGCCGATTCAGCCACAGGACACCGAAGCTACGAGGGCGCGGGGGGGCATACCATCTTCTGTGCCCCCTCTCTGAGCCGGCGGGGCAGTCTCTTCGTGTTGTGACTCATGGCTCTCCTCCGCATGTGTTTGGGCAGCCCTCCGAACACGTGGCAGCTGCCCGTCGTCTTGGTTACAGCCTTCATCATGGCGCTCACCTCCGCTGCACGGGCCATAGCAAAGGTCGAGGCTGGAGGGGGAGGGTTTCCAAAAAAAAAACAGTTACGTCCATCCATCCATCCATCCAACAGGGATACATGGCAGTTATTCAATGCATTGGCAGGGTTTTTTGAACGCGTTTTTGCCGGGCGATGAAGCATCCTTACCGGTGATGAACCTGGGCAGGGCCGGACTGGCACCTCCAGCTGGGCGCCCCCTCACCCAGTCAGTGTACTGACCGCCCGCATCAGAGGGTGGGGGGCCGTGGCCTCTGGCATGTCCGGAGTGCTCATGCTTTTGACCTGCAGAAAATATCACCGTCAGAATCCTTTACTTATTCGCAGTCTTTCACCATAAACAATCTTCTCCCATCTTGACAGGAAATATCCAAGTGTTTCTGTTTAAGGCTGCACAGTATCACATTGAGAGATGTGTAATATCCACAAATAATAATGCGATATTTATAAGGCAAAAAGATTAAAGGTTTACAAATATTCATGAATTCAAGCATGGTACCGTCATAGGTGGCATCCTAAGTCAGTTCATTAAATTTCTTCCCTGCTAGATATTCCACTTCAACTGTGGAAAGTGTTTAGGAACGACAAAAACTCAGCCACAAAGTGTCAGACCACATGAAGTAACAGCAGGGCCGCTGAGTACTGTATAGTGCACAAAAGTCACCAACGCTCCGTTGACTCAATAACTGCAGAGTTCCGAACTTCCTCTGGCATTAACTGCAGCACAAAGACTGTGCACCTGGAGATTCATAGAATGGGCTTCCATGGCCAAGCAGCTGCAAGGAAGCCTCACACCACCGCATCACCGCAATGCAATGCCAAGCATCAGATGCAGTGGTGTAAAGCACACAGTCACTGGACTCGGGAGCAGTGGAAATGTCATCTGTGCAGTGACAAATTACTCTTCACTGCCTGGCAGTCTGATGGATGAGTCTGGCTTTGGCAGATACCAGAAGAACATTACCTGGCTTACTGCACTGTGCCAAATATAAAATTTGGTGGAGGAGGGATAATGGTATGGGGTCGTCTTTCAGGTGTTGGATTAAGCCCCTTAGTTCCAGTGAAGGGAACTCTTAATGTCTGATGTGAAAGTGCAAGCTTGCCGGGTTGTTGCTGTTCGGATGTGACTGCTCTCATTTGCATAGTCTTTGCCTTTGTAGAAATTATTTTATAGTTAGTAATATTTAATCATTTCATGGTTTGTTGTATCATTCCGGGGAGTGGGGGCAGAAAAGGGTTCTATGGAAAGTGTCGCCTAGGGGCCCAGAACCCGTTAATCTGCCACTGTGTCCTGCCCAGGTTATAATGGTACAAGCACCTAGAACATTGTTGGCCAATCTTATTTGCAAAGGGCCAGGGCTCAGCTGCTGAAACCCAGGGGAGGGGACTATTCAGGGAATCAGTTCTCTAATCAGTAATCTTATTAAGGAACTGCAGTGAAAACCCACACACAGAACGGCTCTTTCTGGATAAGACTTGAGCATGCCTGGTCTAGAACATGGTTCTCTAACTGTGGTCCTAGAGGGCCAGAATCAAGCACAGTTTGCAGATTTCCCTGCTCAAACGCATCTTAATCAACCAGGGCCTGACCAGTTAATGGGGTTTCTTCTCCATTACGCCAAGGGCCCTGTGAGGTGTCCCGCCCCGTCGAGGTGTAGGTGATGCTGCTCGGCTGATTCCTCATCTTCTTACTGCGCATCCTATGTTTAGCTCCTGACATTTCTAGAGAAATATTATATGGTGAATAACATTCTCGCAAACACCTTCAAGCAACACTGGCACGACTGACAAGTATCTTTACACAATGCACATTCAAAACACCTAAACCTCAGTATACTTTGACAACCTATCCACCTAAGATAGAACAACCAACATTTGCTGTTACAATTATTTAAAATCTGACATTGACAAATGCCCTTTCTTATTAATCAGACAATGATTTCCATTAACAGATAATTCGACGGTCACGGTGACTTGCATGTAGGGTCTGTAGGAATGCAAGCAATCAAGCTAGATGGTCAACCAGCGAGTTAGATCGTTTTTAAATTGTAGACGATACACAAAAGACTTCGCAATAAAACAAAAGCATGAAATTGTACAAGTCACATAAAACTAATATATAATGCTAAACGTTTCCAACAAATTACTATGTAAAAAAAATGTTTCAGCTCGTGTTTAACAATTACTGATATTCTTTTAAATGTTCTGTATCCCTCCCCGTTCTCTCTTAGTATATAAAATAGGTAAAAATCAAAATAAACTACCACCTGGTTTGTGTTGAAGCCACCAATCTGCACGCTTCTATGATGCCACTCACATTGCTTCTGAGCAGCCAACTTTTTATTCCGCATGTTGTGTCACATGTAAGTCTTTCAGTTCCGGATCGGGGCAACGCAAAGGCACACGGGAAACGTAGTGCAAGGAAGACCGAAGTCACTGAAAGAAAAGCGACGTTATATTGGAGCGTGAGCCAATCAAGTGATGAAAATTCAAAAACGAATCCTTACACTCAGTATACATATTTGCCTTCTACCTATTAATCAAAATGTAACCACAAAGTATTCGTTGTATGGAACATTTTTACATCTATGTTGTAACACACTAAATACAATACATTAAATATAAAAATGTCAATGTATAAATAATTATATCTGCCAGGAGTTGTTGTCTGTATACACTTTGTATATTTTTTATAAATTATGCGGATGATTACAGATGAACCTAGAACGAAATATGCTCAAATTCTAAAAGGTGCTATATGGCAACGTCCACAGGGAATGCCAGTCTACACTAGTCAAATGTTATATATCGTTTATTTCTCTAAAATTATAGAGGTATTATCCATAGCTTTTAAATATCTTTTCAGAAAGGAAGTTTTTGGGGACATCTGTGCTTTTTCTAATACAAAGGAAAATCCACAACAAAACTGACTGCCAATGAAGTTTTAGGGGTTGAAGTTGCGTTTATAGTTTAGAATATACGGTAAAAAAAAAAAAAAGAAGAAGAAGAAAAAAAAGGACTAAAAACGACCTCTCGCCGTTCAGTCCTGTGGGCTCGGGCAATTAAAATCGTACAATATTTAGTGCATGTAACTACGGCTTGAAGTTCATTTCAGGCGAAAAGTTTGAGTGCAGCCATGTCCGCAGTCATAAGGAAGATTATCAGCACTGCAAAAGCTCCGGCGGCAATTGGGCCATATAGGTGAGAATGTGTCATCAGCTTCCTAGACTTAAGTACAAACGTGCCACTTGCACATTAAATTTTTTCAAACTTGAAAACTATGCATTCATGTCGCCGTTTTGAACTATTCAGTTGCCTTCAGAACACAGTGTAAATTTTCTTTACGACCTGAGATGTTCTCAAAGACATGAACATAAATTACTTTGCAAGAATGGCTCTGCAGAAATACGGACAATTGTACTTTTATTAACGAAAACGTTAAGGATTACATGACCTGCTTGATTTTAAACAGAATTTTTGTTTTACTCTTTACGTCTGTGCATCACGAACTAGAGGGTTTATTCATTTCGTTAATTCTTAAACGCATGATATTCTGTTCAGGGAGATAAGGTCATATCGACTTCAAGCGATTTTCTTTTCTTTATTCATACATCCATTTGTAACATATTTCTTAAATGCGTTTTAAGCTTCAAAATGTAAGATGCTTGACTAACAGATACCGTTTACGTTTAGTCTAATTAAGGTTAGTTTATTAAAGAAAGGCTTTTAATGAACCCAGGATTCGCGGAGGGTCCCTGTATTAAATTTAAGGATGGATGTACATAATGTATTGTTTTATACTGCGCTAATACTGGTACAGTACGGTACTGGTGTCAGGTATGCAAAGCTGTAGCTGACTGGTCGAGGTGAGGGGCGTTGTGGTTTCAGCCAATAGGAGAAGCCGGCTGGAGTCCAAACTTCAGAAGACGGTTTAAAGTCCTCTTGTCTACATTTCTCCTCTGTGGGAGAATGCAGAATAAAATATGTATTTTCGTTAATGTACATTGTATAGGTTAATAATTAATATTAATAAGTTAATAATTCAAACATTGCCACTGAATTTGTAGTATCACATCGCAAACTGACAGACATTTAGTGTCTTATACCTAATATTCTGTCAGGAAAAAGCAGTACTTGTGAAAGGAACATAATTGTTCTTGTTAAAGTAATGTTTTATGTTGGCTCGGACTGACTGAATAGCATTCTTCGCTGTTTTGTAAACTGGTTTAGTTTTTTTAAAACCAATTTTCTATTTTCAGCATCTGTAATTAGTTTTGACAAATATGCTAACTAGGGATTGAAGAAAGCATCTTGCAAATATATGTCACTTTTCAGTGATGAACAGGAGAGTCTTGTTCCTTGTAGGTTATCTGTGAGAACACCTCATCTGTATGAGTAATTTTGCTTATTTCAATTATAGGAAGTAGAGGCCTTTATATGTTCGCATTATATGACCCCTGTTTGTCCACATTGTTTTTTAATGGAATCTAAATAGCGATGATAATGTGATTAAATACTGTATTCAGACTGCTGTAAGCACGTACATTCGTATCCAGCCAGGCGGTGGTGGTGGATCGTACCATGTACGTATCAGGGCAACTTGGAATGGACCCTTCCACTGGGCAGCTGGTCAAAGGGGGAGTGCAGGCCGAAGCCAAACAGGTGAAAAGAATCTAGTGTTTAGAAAACACTCCCTGCTCACCTTGGTTTGTTTTCCCAAATATCCTAAATCACCCTTATAATGGTATTGAAAAGATTAGGGAATTGATAAAATTGGCACGTTCTGAAACCAAGACTAATTATTTTCTCTGGGGGAATGCAGAGGTAATTTGTACTTAAAGCTATTGATAATTATCTTCTCATTATTATCTCCTTCATTATTTTCTTCAGGCTCTCATCAATATGGGCGAGATTCTTAAGGCAGCTGGTTGCAACTATGACAACGGTGAGACTTTAAGGTGTTTAATAATTTTACAATGTTCAATAATACAGTAAACCAGTCATATGCCTTCCTCTAACAAGTTTAACATGACCTGACACTATATATTAAAATTAATCACCAGTTGATATTGCCTAAATAAGTTAGGAGTAGCTCCAGTTAGTATATAGTATTTGAAATGCTGTTAAAGTATTTGGTAACACTTTACATTCACTGCACCTTCATAATGCATTCATAATGCATTCATAAGCAGCATGTACTTAACATACCTTAACAGTTTTAATATACGTTATTAATGAACATTACATGATAATAACAAACATTATTAAAGTATATTAAAGCTGTTAAAGTAGGCCTATGTTAGGATGTTACGGTATACTTACATGCTGCTTATGAATGTTCTATGGATGCATCATAAATGCATCATGAAGGTGCCATGAATGTTCTATTAATGCTTAATGAATGCACTATGAAGGTGCAGTTAATGTAAAGCATCACCAGCCATTTAAATCTTTATTTTCCTTCAGTTGTCAAGACGACAGTCCTTCTTGCCGACATAGGCGACTTCAACAACGTGAATGATGTTTACAAGCAGTGTAAGTCATACTGGGAGAAGCATTGCTATTGCAACTTTCAAGATTTCTGGAAAACTGGATTGCAAGATTTCTGGAAAACTGCTTCAGTGCTGAATGAAGAGGAAACTTGTGGTTTTAGTTTACGGGGTATCATGTATTTACAGGAGGTTTCCACAAGGTGTCACCACCTTTTGGTGCCTTTCACACCTGCTCGTGTTTAACGGGTGCATTTTTAACGGGTGCATATCTTTAAAGGCGGTAGTTTTGGTTTGTCTGTTTTGCATGGCGTGCCTGCATGCATTTGCAGCATGTGTCCACAGGAAGGGGGGGTTATTATTTTGAATAGTGAATGATAGTATGAAGGAAAACCTTTTAAAAATACTAATGATCAGGATCCTACACATTTTCTTCACTGTATATTCCAATTGACATCAATCATAGATATACCAGAGTATTGTGTCATTGCTGTAAACTTCTGTTAGTAGTTAAATTACTTTTTTAATGACAATTCATTGATCCCTTGTGGGGAAATTCTCTCTTCGCCTTCCCCACCCTTGCTCCCCATGACACACAGATGTAGGTAACGTTAAACCTGGCAGTGAAGGGCAGCCACCAGCAACGGCACCCATGGAGCTGGGGGGGGGGGGTTAAGGGCCTCACTCCGGGGCCCATGGACGTGGGACTATCTTGCCAAAGCCAAGCTTGAACCAGTGACCTTCTGAGCACGGAGCCTTAGCCCCCTGTTTGTTTCCCTAGTGCTGTGTATTTGTCTATAAGAGACAAGGTGTATATGATCGATGGCAAGATGGCAATGGAAACGTCACACATTGCCCTGGAGACAGGGAGAGGGTGTGTCTACGTGCCCTTTAAAAAGTGCTGTTCTGGGTGGAGTTGTCCGTTTAGACCAGGTGTGGCTGGCACTGCTGTCGGGTGGGTGTGCCAGTTTTCGGTCTGTTTAGATGATGGTTTTCCAGTTAGTCCTTTCAGCTGTCAATAGGGAATTAATTGTGCTTTACCTTGTTGTTAATCGCCTCACTTCAAAGCAGGGCTTCCTAAACCTCTCTTTGAGACCCTCAGCCAGTACATAAGTTTATTACAATCTACCGCCCAACACTGAGCTAAAACAAGCTCATAACTGGCTTAATCTGAATGAAATATGGCGCTATATGGGATTGGAGGGGGAGCACTTAAGGTCTGGTTTGAGAATCAGTCGTAAGGGGCGTAAGCAAGCAAGTCTGGTGCTAAAAATTACTTCAGCACAACCCCACAAACTACAACATTCAGACTATTTACTTCAGCACAGATGGATGCTACAAGAATGTGTTGGCTTCAACAATTGTTTAGAGATTCAGTTATGTTCTATGTTGAGATTCAACCCCTAAAGTCTTTCTTTGTTGCTAGAGACATTAATAACTAATAATAATACTATACTTATAATAATACTATTATGCAATACTAATAATAAGTATTGCATAATATTGTAGTGTTGGCATACTCTGCTACATGCTGCAACTTCTGTTTCAGTTATGAAAGGACAATAAAATGTGGCAGGGCGTCATCATCCTGGAAGGTGACGGTTCTCTCTTCTGTTCCTCGCAGTTTTCAGCAGAAACTTCCCAGCCCGAGCTGCCTATCAAGTTGCAGCCCTCCCTAAAGTAAGTAACCAACCCTTGCTCCTCTAGACTTACTTTCTGTTTCAGCAGTGGAGTAAGACCTACAGATAGAAGAGGCCACAAGTAAATGTATTTTTTAGTAGTGTTGGCTGCAGTGTTGGCATGGTGGACCAGTCTGTGGCTTTTGTTCGCCTAGTGTTTTGATGTTAGCCTATATGCTCTGTTTCCCTCCCCTAGGGTGGACTTGTGGAGATAGAAGCAGTTGCTGTGCTGGGTCCCATCACAGATTCCTCCTGACTACCCGCCCAGAACCTAAACAAACTGTAGCCACCATCTACAGGAACCAGCTGCGGAGCCTACTGGAGAGGCCTGGGTTGGATGGCGTATCTCCTTCTGGCGCATTGTGAGGGCTCCTAAACTCACACGTCTGTAGATGTCCACGCACATCGATGCCTGTAGAGATCAGGCTTGACACAATGATCAGTTTAAGTTAGTTTTGCATGATTCTGTTCTGCGTTGTTCTAGCTGTAACTTCACTCAATTTGAGGGATCAGAATTTCAGTTTTGAGACCACATCTCCAATGCTTCCACCTGATCTGCACTCCTTCTTCAGGTTGAGCTGTTTCTGTGCTTTATACCTGTTTAATTTGTGTTATACAGACTATACTTGATCACGCTGATGTCCCAGCTATGGCTTAATAGCAGAATGGTCCCTCTAACGTCCTATTCACCATTTCTCTGGCCATCAGCTCTCTGTGCCTCACAGCCTCACTGACGAAAGAAAAAAATCTCTTTTCTAACCAATTAAAATGATGTAATTGTAAGAATTCTATGGCATGTGTGAGTTGCTGATTTCTCCTGACAGGTCTGATGATCATCCACAGGTCTGGGATGACATTCTTGTGAATTTATGCCACTCGTCTTCACCCCTGAGTCATCCCTTTACCTGACTCTAGCTCAGAACAGTACCATGTGCATTAGTAACACAATACTGTTTATTTATAATCTATACAGGGTAGCGGCTACATCAAAGTCAAGCCGACCAGTTTAACAATTTAAAAAACCCACTCTGAAAGTCTAGGTAGGAAAGAATTTAAAGCACATAGATGCACACACTGTAAATGGCTTAGACACAGTGTCCAATCAAACACCAGTTATCTAAGTATCAGTATCAAGTAGTCTTGCCTTCCAAATAGCAGTAGACGAGATGTGTGGACAGCAACCCTTGATTCAGCCTTTGGGGGATGGAGGTTCAGGTAGTGGAGACAATAATCCCCCAGCCTTTCCTCAAAATAAGCTGAATCTTCCAGTCTGTAGTAAAGTATCTGAGTAATCCCAGAATGGCAGGAGAGAATACTCGGGTGATATGGGATAGTCCATGGCCGTACACATCATAATGGGACAAAGCGAAAATCACTATGGTGGAGAGAGAGAATGTAAACAAAACACAAAACATTTTAAAGTCCTTAACAAAGTCTGTTATGAGATCAGATTAATTTGCACTTGCTCAGAGTGACTGTCATTTTAAAAACAACGCAAAAAACTTTTTTTTCTAGGTTTCTACGATTAGCCATACTCTGGTATACATTCTGTCATATACTTCACATTAATTTAGTTCTCCGCAGTGAAATACAGCGTTAAAAGTACAAAGTTAAAATTCTGATAAGTTGCAATACTTGGTGAGATTTTAAGGTGAGACACATATAAAATTATACTACAATTTTTTTTATTCCAGTTTTGAAAGCAAAACCATGATATGCATTTATATTTAAAAACATTAGAAATGTCAGTAAACACCTGGTCTAAACGGACTGCTTCATGAATTTTGCCATTAATCTAATACTCTACAAAGTTATTCCTACTGAGACAAAGAATGAGACTTGAAATATCGGGGTCATTTCACTTCGAACTGGTCAGTACGGTGATTTCACTTAAATGAAACTAGAGAAGCATTTGACATTCTTGTGCGCCATTTCAGTGGGACAGGCCCTCACCCAGGACCCCAGCTTGGTCATTCTCCTTGGTCCCTTTCTTTCCTGGTCCCTGTAAGGCCTTCCTTTCCATCATCTCCTTTGTGGATCCACAGGGAGACTGTAAGGACTGTGCTGAAAACACATTTATAACCAAACTGCATTAATTCAAAACTGGCTGACTTAATTTCATTTGCAAACACCTCCCGGCGATTAGTAACATTTAGTGCTCACAATGAATTGGTCTCATAAAGAGAGTCTCTAGGGAGTTTTATGAAAGAAAGTAACAATGTACATAAATACTATCTAAGCAGTAACTCCGAATGCTTCTAGAACAGAACAGCTCTCCATTCAATACTAACTGGGCCACAGAGAATATAATCCCAATCGTACAGAATTATATCAACTTCATTTACATTTACTTATGTTAGCAGGTGTTTTGTCCAAGGTGGTGATCTAGCTCTCAGTCATTTAGCTAACAGCTGTGTGCTGTCAGACCATTTGCATGGTATTAATTTGGCTGCCGACATTCATTTAATTTTTCTAAGGATCAGACGTGAGGCCAGTTCTGCATTAAGGCACATACCTTCCATCTAGTTTCCGGAGGTATTGTTAGACACCTCCACCTCGATACCAGAAGGGTCAGAGGTCAGACTCTGATTCAACTCTGTCACTGGCTCTGTTTCAAGTGTTGGTTCAGATGTAGAGGTGGGCTCAGGTCCAGGTGTTGGTTCTGATGTAGAAGTGGAGTCAGCCTCACCAAACTGGGGCCCAGCAGGCAGCTCTGCCAGGTCCTTGCATATTGCTTCTGCTAGGTCATGAGGGATGATTAACACACTCTGCTCTGTGATTGGCTTGCTCCCCTCAACAATAGTCCCATTATGATTGCAGGCATCTGTAAAGACAAACAGAATGTATGCAACACCGTTGCTTATATTAACATACCAGCAACATATGCACCTTCAAAAGGTCTCTTAGAGAATCAGCTTTAAAATTGCCACTCTTAGGGATCTAACCTTCTGAGTGGTGATCAGGTTATTCTATGATAGCAAGCCTTAAAAGAACAGCAATCCACAGGTAGTGACCATTAACTCCGACTGTTAGAAACTGAACAGATTTAACTGAACAAACCTACCGTCAGAACAAGAAAAAAGCAATATGTATAGCACCTTGTGAACAAAACCCTTTGCATATTAAGAGCCTTACCTGGTCAGTCTGTGTATGGCATTTTTAGAGGATTGTTATTTTCTTAGGTCCAAAAGTCACAGCATGGTATAATTGTCTAACTGATTGTCTGTCTAATTTTTTTTCCTGACATACCGGCACAAAGCAAACTCTAATCTCGTGGCGCCCTAAGTGAGATGTGAATATCACGTGATCTGTGAAAATACACAGAAGCCATGGAAATAACTGGATTCATCAGAATACAGCTATGGCTCATATCCAGCTGCACCAATCAGCATGTCGCCATTCTTATAAATAGGCACTAATAATAACAGTGGCAGTTTTTAATTAGAAACTCTCGATAAGTAGCTTGGCTTCTAGCACAATTCGGGCGAATCTTTGCTTGAGGAATGAATTCATGCTGATCTCATGTGTGAATGGAAGGACTGGAGTGCATGGCGACGTAAACTGCTTCATGCTGTGCTTTCACCCAAAGGTATGAAGCTGAAACGGCAAAGTGCAGGCCACACACTGGTTCATCGTGTCATGTGTGCATGACAACAGGGTGTGTAAGCCAGGATCTGTGTTGAAAAACATTCTCACTGTACTCACTGTAACTGTATAATTCAGAAAATATTCAATGGAAAATTCCATAAACAATTCATAAGTTTTAAATTGCGCGCTGTTCTGAGATGTGCAATAAAATCTCGCGCCTGGGATGTAAATCACCCCTTTGTCGGAAGTATCCACGCTATATGCACCATCCACCCATTGGCCACTTAGTAGACACCTTGGTTATTAGATCGACTGTCGCGGTTTATTGCAATATATGGTTCTAATTGTTCTGTTTTGTCAATGGTTATTGTTGTGATTTGCCTTATTGTGTCTAATTTATAAATTTAACTTTATCGTGGGTATGTACTGTATATAAAGGAAAAAACATAGTATATTTGGGGTTCAGTACTATCCATAGATTCAGGCGGTCTTGGAACATATCCCCTGGAAATGGGGGGGAGGAGGTGCTTATGTATTCCACTTTACTCCAACAGTACAAAGACAAGCAGTGAGGATAATTGGAATCTCTGAACAGGCTCTTGTGTATGTGTGTATATCTATCCAGCCTGGACTCCACCTGTGACCTTGCTCAGAATAAGTACTTACTAGATGGATGAAGTAGATTAATATGCTTTTCATCTTCCTTAATTCCACCCCATATATCCAACTGCCCTCCCCAAACTTTGGTGATTGTACAAACCAAAAATATTTAGCTTTTCATTTAAAATCTAAAATTCAGTGACACTGTACTAGAAGAGATTGTGAGGGATTAGTAAATATGAAAAAGAAATGCCAATAAACAAAACATTACCAGGAGGCCCGGGTGCACTACTGCAGCCAAGTGGCATGACGCCGGAACATTCCAGTCCATCTAACAGCGAACAGTAAAATCTGGCTTTAGGTATGGGGAATCTTTATTGCGTCCAACCTGTCGCATATATCCCTCACTTAGTAAGACATTTAAAGGGAACCTCAGACTATGTTAGTAGCTGGGCAGAGCCTTCAGACCACATTACCCAGCTGACTGGTATGGGACTGGTACTGGTTACAGTATTTACTAAAGGGGAGGCAGCTGACACGTGTGTCACGTGTGCGCTATGACGTAAGGCTGCATTACCGTATCTGAAATACATACCAACTTAAAGTCACGTAAGTTGAGCTGAGGCTGTACACCTTTCTCACCTGGACTGCAAGAGGCCTTAAGTCCAGACAGACTGTCTGTCATGATCGCAATACAATCATGGCTGAGTATCCTGAGAATCACAACAATAAATCACAGTGCAGCCAATCACCAAATGGAAAATGGGGGCAATCGGGTCACCATGGCGACCCACTGATCTTATTTGGCAGTGGTAGCTTGATGGTTAGAGCAGTGTGTTTGTGATTGAAAGGTTGCTAGTTCAAATCCCTGACCAGCACAGTACAACTGAGGTACCCTGAGCAAGATACCACCCCCATGCACTGCTCCCCAGGGGTTAGATAGTAGCTGCCCACTGCTATGTCACAATATGGATTAAATGCAGAGGACACATTTCATTGTTGTGTCCTGTGGTGTATAAACAACGACAGTCAATCACTTTCACTTTTAAAGTAGGGAGAATGATGCATCTGTACTCTTTAGTTGCAATGTGGCAGTGTTATGTGAAACAATCATTTTGTCCAGTGTTTCCCAAGCCGGTCCGTAGCGACCCACAGACAGGCCACATTTTTGCTCCCTCCCAGCTCCCTGTCAGACAGTCCAAAAATGTAAACTGTCTGCAGGCCCCCAAAACCCGGTTGGGAAAAACTGATTTAGTTATGGACAACTGTGTTGTTTAACCCCCCCATCCCCCACCTGGTCCATCCAACACCCACCAGTGACAGTATCCAGGTGACTTATTTTACAGCCAAAACAAAGGAGAATATCACCCACATTAAAACTGACAGAAAGCGAGACCAACCATAGGATCCTACTAACCAAACAGGCTCAGATCAACTGCAGATCAACTTCACATCTGTATTGATGTAAACACACGTCAGATACAATGATCTCTGGCTGCACTTCTCAAACACAGAAAAATGTAACTGTTACGTGTGAGACAAAACAAGCTTCAGAAAGCAAAAGGTTTCTCTAATTTAGCTCACGGAATGTACATGTTTATAGGTGTCCTACGTGTAAACTTATCAGTATCAGTGTGTGCAGATCCGTCTGGAAGGTCAGCTCCACCCAAAGTGTACATATGTGCTGCTTGGACACTCCCATAGTGCTGTCAAAACTGCTTCATCAGAGCTGCGTGAAAAACAGCCTCACAACAAAGCACACGTACTCACATTACTCCAGTTCCCAAATAAACCAAGAACAGCAGATAAAAACAATGGCACTGCCCTCCTATCAAGACTGTTATGGAGAAAGTCAGGGGCGGACTGGCTACAAAAAAAGGGGAGGGGCTTGGTATATATCTGCCGCAGACAAGGGCCAGCTATACCAATTTTGCCTATATAATATAAGGCTTGCCTATATGATATAATTCCAGAATTATATATGTGCATTTAACACTTCATAAACCTTAGCCAATGAAGCCCAATTTACCAAAAAATCCAAATATAAAACCATTTTCATTCGTATATTCAATATGCATTGTTGTATGTTATGTGTTGTATGTGGTCATGGGTGGCACCATAATGTTTTATAGAGGGGTGCTTCAGGGGGGGAAAGGCATTTGGACAGGGTGCTTTTCAGTGAGTAATTGTTCTATTGCATAAATGCTACGTTTCAATGGCGTTCTAAGCAGTCGATCATTTCACTTACCTTAAAACGTTAAAGGAGGACAATCCGCCTGTTTATGTGGTTGACTGCTAATAAGTCTAATATTTGATTTACTTCATTATTATTTGATTGACAATTTTGCTGGTAAGGACAGAAGAAATCGTTCCACGTGATGTCATGTTAATGACCACACAATCTTTACATTTTTCACACAAATGAAAAATACGTTTACACAGTAGTTTTATTATTTAAATACTTTTGGTGATGTTACAGTATTTTAATGGGTGCTATTGGGGGTGCTCGGCAGTTTCCAGCCCCCCAGCGCCCCCCCCGTGCGCCGCTCCTGTATGTGGTTAAGCTACAAATCACGAACCGTGACGATACGAACCATGTTAACAATGGCATTATTTGGCATTATAGGTTTTTTGTGTTTTAACAAATTAATAAGTAAGAACAAAAATAAAACAGGATAAGAGTAAAAAGAAATCCGTTTATCTATACCCTATCAAACGGGGTACCGTTAATGTTACTTTATGGGTAGCGGCCGTGAAAAGTCGTCATAACTTCTGTGCAGTAAACTGGATGCTCTCGTTCTCAGTATTGGGCGCAATACTGACAAATGTTAAATACATGTTAATGATTTAATAAACTACCGAACACACCATTGCTCGCTCAAAAGAGTCTTACATATAAATGTACATGAAAACTGTATGAAGTGTAATGGGATCCAGTGGGATTTTTACACTTACCGACCCGTTCTTCTTCAGTCTTTTCCCCAGGCTTTGCCTCCGGTCTGTCCTCTCCAGGGGTATGTGAGCTAAATGAGCACCCCATCCTAACTGTGTAAAGACAGAAGATTTAGAAGACGAATTAAAAACCCTGGTTATTTCATCTGCTATAAAGGGAAAAAAACTACGGGCAGGCTTTGGTTTGGGAGCATATGCACAACTCCCTCAACTGCTAAGTTGCTGTTTATTTATGCATGATCTGCAGCAGGAGCCAGACAGCGATTTGTCGTGATGAACACCCACACGGGCAGAGTCTCGGCAGCCCTGCATACGCGGACATTATAATTATTCAGGGACCCATGCAGTGCGCGAGGGAATGTCCGCGAGCACAAGAAGAGAAAAATGCATGATGATTAGTGTTAAACTTGCAGAAGTGGCTTTTTGATGAGTAATGAATAGTTTGCATGATAGGCAAATAAATAAGCAAACAAATGAATAAAGAAACAAATAAATAAGAATAGAAACTATCAAATGTAAAATAAAACGAGGCAGACCATTTGACGGGAATTTTTTAATGGTACAATTTAAATAGCGGAGGTGGTGTCCGGAACCCACATATCTCATTTATAAAAATGTAACTGCAAAAAATGTTTTCTACTTGCACATCGACCTCGGCTACATAGCTTGTGACAAATATGCAAACACAGGTTTTATTATTCAATAATTACCGTTGCTTCTTGCGTGAAGGAGTACACAGTAGGATGCCGGTTTCTCGGTGTTTAAAAACCATTACGATTATGATTTGGATGTTCAGGTGCAATAGGTGTTTTCCTGTTAGTATATATTAAGCTGGAGTTTGAAGAAGTCATTCCCTTTTTTTCCAACATGAAAATATCTACTTTAGTTTTTTTTCGCACAAAGGCTGTCAAATGTGATAATAGGAGTTAACTGAATGTGACAGAAACAAGAGACTGAAGCCAAAACAGCCCTGTTTGGCTGTCTGATGCTATTCGTGCATTTTGTGATGAATATGAAATCCACGGCGGAGGCCGTCAGTCGGGGAGATGGGGACTTGGCAAGCTGTGATTTAACATGATGGATGGTCCTTTTGAAATATCGGATGTCAGCCGTCAGACGCTTCTTAAGTGAACACCTCTATATCTGCTACATTTAAATCATAGTACATAATCATAATCTGGGGCGATTCTAGGTTTTGACACCCCCGGTAGGACTGTGACTTTCACTAAAAATTTTATAGTAATTATAATATACGGGCGGGTCAGAGGGCGGGGCGTCAGTCAAACTTCTATTTTGACAGGGCGCCCTCTAGAGCTGGTATGTTTGCTATGAGCCCCCACCCCCAACACACACACACACCACACACACACACACACAACTTTGATAAGGTCACTTGATATGATGCTTCCATGAGCAAGTACTTGTGCAATACATTTCAAAGTCATGTAATTTGATTTGAAAGAAATCATTCGACTTTCCAGCGCAATGTCCTTGTTTCCTCTCTGGTGTCGTTTTAATTTGATTGACTTCAAACTCATTTAGGCAGGTTACACGTACAAACCACAAAAAGGGCCGTACCTCTCCATTGTTAATAATGGAAGTAAAACCGTATTCCAGATACGCGGCGTCATATTTTCTGTTTTTGCTCGGTCTAGGTATTGCTTTACAATACATTTAAGTAAAAGCTAGAAATGTCTCCATCCTCCAAGTATGCAAGCATTAACTTCCATACCGTAATATTTCTCTACAAAACATTTACAAATCACATTTTGATGTTGTATATAAATTATACAATAGAAAGTTTATTTGACTACAACAACACATTGCTAAATCCATGATGATACTATAAACCGTCCAGTCTAAAAAAAACATCCTCCAAAATGTCGAGTTACGTCACTGTTCTTTGTCTCGCGATAATAATTTTAGGGGCCAACAGCAAAGCATGCTGGGAGCTTCCTTCTTTCTCCCGGACGTCGTGTTACCGTTGTAGGCTGGTGCGTGGCGGTCCGTCTTTAATAGTTAATTGTTGTCGTATATGCTGCTCTTTTCTGTCCGGGATTCATATGTGACGCTACATAAGGTTCTCATTTTTATTTCTTATTCGCTTTAGGTGAGCCACAAGGTACCGAACCGCAAAAATGGTTGCTGCGAAGAAAACGGTGAGTCGGATGAGAGGAGCCGGGCTACGCGGCTGTGCTTCACGTGGGAGTCTCGTCGTCGGTCTTAGGCCTTAAGCTTACATTTTGTGTGCTTTTCTGTGAGCCTTCTTGCGTTAAGACACCTCGTATATGCATTCGTTGCTATTAACACGAACCGTGCCGCATTTTGACTGTTTAGAGTTACCAGTTTAAGACGCATGTAAGCACCATGCGGCGCGGTGGTGCTAACTTCGTTTCAGACATACGCTGGTCAGTCATGTCAAAGGGTAGTATGCAGATACATCGTATGCTGTATATGCAAACGTCACAATTTAACTGATCGGAGTCTTAGCGTGTTGTGCGACAGTTTTATTTTCCCTAAAATATTGTTGGAACAGATGTATAGCCTCAACTCACGCTTTCGTTGTTTTGCTTTTGTAGTCAGTTATGACGTTTATATATAAATACATTTTAATCCTTGTACGCAGAAAAAGTCTTTGGAATCCATCAACTCCCGGCTCCAGCTGGTGATGAAGAGCGGTAAATACGTGCTGGGGTACAAGCAGACGCTGAAGATGATCCGCCAGGGAAAGGCCAAGCTGGTCATCCTGGGCAACAACTGCCCGGCCCTGAGGTAAGCAGCCCGAGCTGTCACCGAGCCTTTGCGGGCACTGAACAAACTTTAGTTGCTTTAGGATTTTTTCCCCCAATTGTGAGCAGTTAGATTTTGCCTTTTTAAATTTTGGCTGTTTACCATAAAATGGTGAACGTTGTTCATTTTACCAACAGGTAATTCAAGAACCAGTTTATAATTAACTCATATTTGTCTGCCAAAATGAGCCTTATAAAGTGTTTGTTCAGTGTCCCATATAGAATGTAAATATCCATACATCTATGAAGCAGGGATTATTGAATTTTACATTCCTTTTGTGACATTAAAAATCTCCTCAGCATTGTATCACATAAAAATGCAGAATGATGATTAAGTACGGCCAAGACCACTGATAAATGTCTGTAAAACTGCAAGTTCAGAGATCAAACCCAGGTTGTTACTCATGACTGACTGACCGTTTTGTAAAAAGCTTGTTCTGTACACACTGACATGAGCTTAGTAGGGCATATAGGTTGTACCTTTGCTTACTGTGCAGCTCATTTTCTTTCAACCACAATTTTCTGTCTCTAGGAAATCTGAGATTGAGTACTATGCCATGTTGGCCAAGACCGGTGTCCACCATTACAGCGGAAATAACATCGAACTTGGTACAGCCTGTGGTAAATACTACAGAGTGTGTACTTTGGCCATCATTGACCCCGGTAAGTTTCTCTGTGGTCCTGCAGTTATAGCTGTGTGTTTTTGTGATATACCCAGCAGCCTGGGATATTTGGGCATTAATCACTGTAAAAGCTTTTATGTTGTTAATCCACTGTTCTTGTAACAATACTTCACAAAAGTACATGTCACAAAAATCTTAACACCAGTCTTGGTTAACCTCAGCGAATTATTCTCGCCTGTTCGATCTATCCGTGGTCTGATCAGGGCTAGACATTCGCGAGATTAACGCCTGTCTGAGAACTCACAGATCTGACCTTATGTCTTTTCTGTTCTCTTCCCTGCCTTGCTGGTTACATTTAAGGCCGAGCTCCTCCTCTTAAGCCATGTTAGTGTTCAAGTGGGCCTCCACACCAATGGCTACTGTAGAGCTAATGTGCTGCATTCTTGTTTTTCTACAGGTGATTCTGACATTATCAGAAGCATGCCAGAGCAGCAACAGGGCGAGAAGTAATTTCGCTTTCAAAAAAAGTTATAAGTAAACCTAGTGAAATACATTTGTCTCCTGTCTTCAGTCCCACAGCTTTATATTAAGTAATATGAAATTTGTGTCGTTTGCATTGAATCACTGATCGGGAGAGAACACACACATGCGATAGATAATTAAGACCCTAAAGGTCCTATGTAGGGTTAGCCCTGAGTACTTTGCATTTGTTCTGGTATAAATTATTGCAAGGTGTGTCAGGCTCCTTTTGATTAGAATTTGGTGATCAGTGGTCAGGTTGTTGACACACCACAGCACACAACAACAAAATGTGTCCTCTGCGTTTAACCCATATGTGACATAGCAGGGGGCAGCTAATTCAGCGCCCGGGGAGCAGTGCTTGGGGGCGGTACATTGCTCGGGGTACCTCTGTGGTGCCTTGCAGGTCAGGGATTCGGACCAGTGCCTCCCTAACCATTAAGCCTCCGCTGCCTCTTTCATTAGAACATCATCTTATGCAGAACTGGCCAATTCTTTAGTTGTGTTGTTGCAAAATCGGTCAAATTAATAATTGTGGAGCTGGCATGTCAGTCACATGCCATTAGGTGGTTAAATTTCATGCTGAACAGGGAGAGGCTCTTCAGGGCCTTTATGCCAGTATAAAAGTGCCAGGCAGCTGGATCTTGCTGCCAGTCAAACCTGGATTACTTTATACCAAAACCAATGGCTAGTTATGAAGGAGCTGCTGGAATTCTAACACAATGGGTATTAGTGCAAGCTACAATTTCTCCAGGTGGGCGGGGAGTGATGTCACAATATAAATAGAAAAGTTCACTGTAAATATCCCCACATAAAAAACGATTGGTTCAGAATATTTTTAGCAGCTTGTGTGGAATGTGCTGGCAAGTTAATCTGGTCAATTTAGAACTGAGAACTGCCACTGATATTTAATATTCCCTCCTATTTTGACCATGTACAAAACACTCATTTATACAACATTTATACAATATTTGGCATGTAGAAAATGAGGTATACAGGGTACAAGTAGGAAAAGTAGGGTAAACATTCTTCAGCGCAGAGTCAGCTCAGTCCGCAGCCTGAAAGTATATAAAACATTTGCTTTTAACTAGTTCATGATAGACGTTAGAAGCATTCTTCTTTGAAAGACTGCTTTGAGTTTCTCCCTCCCAAGATGCCATGATGGAGTTGTTCAGTTGTGTCCCAAGTCATTCTCCAAGGTGTCCAGCCTCTTAGTCAAAAGTTCTAGTGCTTCTGGATTAAGGATAAAATGGGTCAAAATGTCATTTGTAGCTTTTTAACGTACTATGACTGATCCCAGATTGACTCAGTTCAAGTTTATAAAAAACATTGGGGCATAATGACTTTTGTGTCCATCCTGGGCTCCTCGTGTCCATTCACCTGAAGTGCAACACCACCATGCAGGTTATAACCCCCCCCCCCAATACAGCTGAAATCCCCTCTTTGTGCTCCGCAATAAAGACATTTCCCTTGAGCAATTCGGTGATGCTAGTGTTTATGAACTTGACCAAGACCAAAACATTTGGTTGGAATCAGACCAACATACCATAAAGCATGCAGATTTTAAAATACACAGAGGAATTTTTTATACCATGCAAAATGTGATACCAAAATGCAGAAGGACAGTAGTCCAGAGGCAGAGATGAGACGTCTTGTATAAAGTTGGCTATCTGCCTGTGTGCCCATGCCACAGTTGTAAAGGATATGTTTCAGATTCAGCCTGTTCAGTTGTTCTGCAGCCTGGTGCCGGAAGGATATCATGTTTTCACATCTGCACAGATCTTCAGTAGGAGGCTTTGGGACAGCTGCTGGGAAAAAGTGTCATCAAGGGAAACAAGTTTTAACTGTCTTTCTTAGGGCAGTGCACTAAACTGCTATTAACATTATGAAGCACATTGATGGGGTACATCAAGGCTACAGTCTGGGTGGTTTTTCAGCTCTTATTTGACCAGACAGCCAGGTTGCTTGCTTGACATATAGGAGTTTAAAACCCAGCTAGAATGAAAAGCATGAAATGGTATTGGACCCCTGCAGGATCAAATCAGGGCTTAGTGGTCTAGGCCTTCTGGGTCACTGGAAATTTCAAGAGCAGCCAACAGAGGGCAGACAAGACCCACTGGAGCCTCATTTGGCCACAAGTCCTACAGAATGTCTGTTTTCAGATGACCAATGGAACCTAACAAGGCACCATACGTCAGCCCACAAAATGGCTCCAGCAGCATTCTGAAGATTTAAAGACTCTGCAATAAAGAATAGGTCTGGTTCAGGAATTCTCACCCCATATGGTGAAGTACTCGAGCAGATAGTTTTACACGTTTGAGAAATTTAGCTGAAAAGCTTCCAAAGCATGCATTAATTTCAGTTTGACAAATTATTCACTCTTGCCTGTAAATACATTCATTTTACTTTAGTTTCTAGAAGTACAACGTTCTTCCTGTATTCTATCAGTATGATAATTATAAGTATGATAAAAGCCTTTAAAGTTTTGAATGTTAGGCATTTTTATGGGAGCAAGGTGCTAAAATTACTGAAGCTGAAGTGATCATGTACCTGTGGTCATCTGAACAGTGAAAGCATGTGGTTTTGGGGGTGAATTTGCTTAGGGAACCACAGGTCAAGTCAGGTTGTGCAGCATGCACTGGTACAGCATGTGACGAAACACCTCGGGATCCCAGTTGATGACCCCCCCCCAGGCCGACTCTCGGTCCAGTCCCACCCATCTATCTGCTGCAGCCAGATGTTACGTGGGCGTCCCCTTGGCCTGCTTCAGCTGCTCTGGTCATCAGCAATGAGGATCCTACGAGCCGGATCACCCTCAGAAAAACTCGCCACATGGCCGTAGTGCCGTAATTGATGCTTCCTCACAATGCAGGTAATGTGCCTCATTCAGGACTCCCTGAGTGACCCCTCATTCGACAGTCAAACCAGCCAGGGAAAATAAACCGTTAAACAAACCATTTGAGCCCCAACAACTTTGAAGCAAAATATCGGCATAATATAAGCCCTTACACATCGTTTCAAATCAAAACTATGACTGTGTAGTTTCTCACCTTCACATATATGTGACTTGAGTTTATTTGTGATTTCATCCATGCGGCTGAAGTCTTTGGCGTAGAGCAAGTGCTTCTCATCTGGCTCGGAAGCTATTTCTCGGAGTTCATCCTCGATGGCCTTCCCCACTCCAACCGCATAGATGATGATGCCTGCAGGAAAGCTGGGGTGGGTGAGGCTCCCCCCATTCAGTGCTCGCTTCCCCCCCGCCCTGCTAAACATAAAAGCATGGCCAGAAAAGCGAACACTTTACCAGATTCCTGTGCCTTGGCGGCCCACTTTGAGACGTCGTCCTGGGATCGGCCATCTGTGAACACAATGCTCACGCGGTGGACGCTGGGCCGGGACCCCCTCTCTGGGGAGAAGCTGACCTCAAACATGTGGCGTAGGGCAGAGCCCGTCATGGAGCCGCGGGCCATGTACTGCATGCGGGAGACTGCCTGCTTGATGGCGGGGGCAGAGGACAACTGGCCCAGGGAGAACTCTGTGCGCACCTTGGTGGAGTACTGGAGGAGTCCCACCTGCGTGTGCCCGCGGGACACATTCAACGAGCCCACGATGCTGTTCACAAACTGCTTCACCAGCTGAAAGTTGGCCAGTCCCAGGCTCTTGGAGCCATCGATTACAAACACCAGGTCCATCTTTCCACACTCGGGCCCTGCCATAGAATCGGAGTCAGTGAACCAAAACCAGAGTCATGGTTACAGACTCATAAAAACAATAAAGCGAAAGCATTCAAGCTCTGGAAGTCTTTGTGAATATAAATGACTGCATGTCCAAATTCAAGGGAAATTTTTATACAAGTGAAAGTACATGAGTTTACAAGGCTTCAGCTTCAGTTTGTTACACTTACAGGGTTGCCAGCTCATGCATGTAGCATGACACGCTTTCAGACTTACGCCAACGCGAGAAATCTTACGGCAAACCAATCCCAGTTCATTATAAAACTAAAATTAGGTACGTCAAAAGAGTTGCAAGTTTGCAAACCCTACAGACAATTTACAATGTAAATAAAAACTGTTACCTACATGCAAATGCGTGTGCATGTGTGTGCTGACTTCCCTCAAATAGAAAATCTCACTCCAGCCAGCTGACAAGACAACCCTGGCAACCCTGCACTTAATCAAAGGTGGAACTGAAGAAGGATTGAAATTAAGCCACTTTGTCTTTTGAAATGCAATTAGGTGGAAGGCTCAGAAACAGCACATTACATCCATTTATGGTTCAACCCCACCACCAAAAGCACAGCTGCCTATTCAGTGTCTCTCCACACAAAAGAATCTGCAATGGAGGCTAATTATGATCGTTTTCCAAAATCAGCAGACACCAGTGACTGTTCAAATATTCCAACCATCAATCCTCCATAAGCCCTTAATCCAGCAGAATTTGGGACAATCTTCAGAAGTGCAAGTTAGGACAGACCTGAGATGGGACACCAGTCCATCACTGGGCACAGTCACAGTCACACTATGGCTGATTTAAAGACAAAAGCGTACAGTTTTCAGAAACGAGAGCAAACTGAATTACTTAAGGATGCAAGAAAAAAAAAACACAAATCAAGACAAAAGCATCACAAAGTAACTGCAAAAGTGATCATGGCAGTTAAACTAGTGGACATGCTGTTAGTGTCCAAGTGTCTAACAGGACATTGTGTGTACACCGTAAAGATGGTTTTCTCTAGCCTCGTCATTAGATCGGCTGAGCAAGAAAAATGTTAATATAGAACCATTTAGATCCAGTTTAATACGCAACATCTAACAGCTACCCACACACTGCCAGTGCAACGCAGCGTTTTATTTTTATTAACCAGGGTCAGGACCTCCCTGACATGGGTGAGAAGCTGCGCTCAGGGGCCGTTAAGCAGGGTTACCTCTGCTAAGCTGGGCCGGGCGATCTCCCCTTAATCCAGATACAGAACTGTCTACTGGGATTGGTGGCATTTGGCCATGAGGACACATGCAGTATTACGCAACTGGCGTTTCACACGCTGCCAGTGCAACGCAGCGTTTCGTTTTCATTAGTAGGGGTCACGACCGTCCTGACTTGGGGCTGAAGCTGTACCTAGCAACAGCCAAGCACTGCTGATGATGTACTATTCGTGTATTGAATGATTGGACCATAAAACGCACAAACCAGGTATTTAAAAGTAGTCTAAGAATGCTAAAAAGTAATTAATGTAGATTTATTTTTGAGATTTCAATTACTAATCAAGTACCAATACTAAGAACTGATATAATATTACCCTGACATAATACAGCACTATAAAAAATTATATTAAAGCTAAAGGCTGAACGACTTCTACCTCTGTGCCGTTCTGGAAATTAGCTTCTTTAGAATACAAACACTTACTGTCACAGGTTTTCCCATCAGCGTTAAGTGTGTATCCTGTATGACACTGACACTCATATGAACCATCCGTGTTCACACACTCATGCGCGCATCCATGGTGACCCAAAGCACACAGGTCAATTTCTGCAAGGGCAAAAGGTCACAGGGGTCAGGGTACCTACATTAGAATCATAATTATACTGCCTGCTTTTACATCTATGCATGTCAGTTTATGAAGTAAACACACATTGCATTATGAGCTAAAAGTTATTTTAAAACAACCTACTTTTGCAGGTTTTTCCATCAGGGTTGAGCGTGTGTCCCTCATGACACTGACACACAAAGGAATCTTCTGTCTTCACACACTTGTGTTCACATCCATGAGTACCCAAAGCACACAGATCACTTTCTACAGCGAGCCGCATTAGGGAAGAGGACACAGGAGGTTTTAAAGGTATTTGTGAGCAAAGGAACATATCAAGTGAGGAGCAGCATTTGCATATTCCTCCCAGGGATTTTCCAGTCACTACAGAGCCGTATTGGATTCAATTTATGAAAGTTTTCCTTGTGAAAAGCACTAACATCTATGCCTTCAAGCACTGATATGAAAGCATACGATGGAAATAGTGGTGAACTATCATTGTGCTCAGTTATTCGACTTCAAGACCAGCAATCAAGGTACATTCTTCAACCTGCTATTCTGGAGAATCAGTGCCTACTGGCTTTCTATCATCAACAAGTTTACAGGTGAGTTAATGTCAATTGTCACACAAAAAAATCAGTAGTTTGTTGTACAGTGTCTTACAAGCTGACTTACTTCTGCACGTTTTTCCATCAGGGTTGAGTGTATATCCCTTATGACACTCACACACAAAGGAGTCTTCAGTGTTCACACACTTGTGTTTACATCCATGGTGACCCAGAGCACACAGGTCAATTCCTGCAGGAGTCAATTTGCTTGAGAGTTGGGTAACGCCACTATGCTACCAGCTGGATTATCAGTTTTTAAAATGATGTATTTCAACTGCTGGACAGCCAACGGTTATAACCAAATGTCACATTACGATTTACATCATTACTGTGAAAGGGCAACAGGAATGGCACCTCTACTTGAATCATAATTATACTGGCTGCTTTTACACCTATACATTTGAATTTATAAAGTAAACACACATTGTTTTCTGAGATAGAAGTTATAAAGAACAACATACTTTTGCAGGTTTTTTCATCAGGGTTGAGCGTGTGTCCCTTATGACACTGACACACAAAGGAATCTTCTGTCTTCACACACTTGTGTTCACATCCATGGTGACCCAAAGCACACAGGTCAGTTTCTACAGCGAGCAGCATTAGGAAAGAGTACAGAGGAAGTTTTAAAGGTATAACGTATTTGCGCGAAAAATATAGTGCACACTAGGTGCATAGTTGAAGTCTACCAGCAAAAGATTATGGGTGATACGTTTATGTCAAATGTTACAGAAGAAAAAAAATATGTTTGTAATCTGGCATCAAAGTGTCGACTTACTGTACGAGCTGGAATGTCAACTTACTTCTGCAGGTTTTTCCATCGAGGTTGAGCTTGTATCCCTTATGACATCGACACTCGTATGAGTCTTCAATGTTCACGCACTTGTGTTCACATCCATGGACACCCGAAGAACACAGGTCAATTTCTGCAGGAATCAGGGGTAATTCGGGCTATGAGTGATTGGGCAGCAGTAGATTCATAACAAATATATTGGAGGTTTTAAAGCTACGCATCTCACTTTACAAAGCAAACAAATCACTCTAAGGCACAAATCATACCAATACCGTAAAAGGGATAAGACATACTTTTGCACGTTTTTCCATCAGGGTTGAGTGTGTATCCCTTATGACACTGACACTCATAGGAGTCTTCAGTGTTCACACACTTGTGTTCACATCCATGATGACCCAAAGCACACAGGTCAATTCCTGCAGAAGTCAAAGGTCAATCAGCATTACATGCAACAGCTAGATAACAAATGTAAACGTTACTTCAGTTTACAATTACAGCATTTTATTGGCTGAAAAACATTGTTGTATAAAAGCATTAATTTATAAAACTACAGGTAAAGCTAATCCTAAACATGACTTACTTTTACAGGTTTTTCCATCAGGTTTAAGGTCATAGCCCTCATGACACTGACACAGAAAGGAGTCTTCGGTGTTCACACACTTGTGTTCACATCCATGGGTACCCAAAGCACAAAAGTCAACTTCTGCAGAAATCAAAGATAAGTGCCAAGACATCGACAGTGTCATGCAGAATCTCAACAAAAAACCTCCCAAAACACAGGTCAGAATATTTACCATTCCTGCATTTAGTACATTGAGCACGCCTTCCCCATGTTCACAGCACTGATACTTCACTAGGTTGCATGGGAGAACACATTTAAATAAATCTGAGATCATTCTGTCATACAAAATCTGTCCAGATCTCCACATCACTCTCCTCTATAGCTCAGCCCAGTTTTTAATGAGGTTAATGTCAATGGACTGGGAGCAAGTTTGATTCTAGAACCATTTTTGTGAATTTATAAGTATGCTTTGGATCGTTGACTTGTCTAAAAACAAAACAACCATGTCCCAGTGTCAACCTCCTGGAAAAAATCAGTCAGATTTTGGGGTAATATCTCTCAGTAGTTGAGTTTGCAATGTCTTATATCCCAGCAAGATTCCCAAGACTTCTGTAAGAAAAACAGCTTTACAACATAACAGATCCTAATACTTCGCACTGGACATTAGCTTCTTCTCTTCATGACCTTGGCTTATTTAACACCATACCCAATACCCAACTTGTGAGTAAAGGGACAGTGGAGATGTACACAAAGCAATGACTATTAATAGCAGACGAATAAACACTGTACTCTGTGTGCTAAAGATAGAGGTGGAAGCCATAGACCCATAAAGATCCACACCATAATCCACAGAGGATTTGCGGATGGTATTTAATACTCTTTCATTCATGAGTTTAGTAAGTTGCAGATAATGAGTTACATCACTGCACTAAGCTTGTATAAAAACCACCAAACAAAGCCTCCAGCTGGACATGTATGTGGGTGATGAAAGAGTATAGTTAGGGGTAATTTGTGGTACCCAACAAGAAGAAAAATGATGCAACTCAAGCTGTCTTTTTCCCTGCAAGTGAACCCCCCCCCCACCCCGGGAGGAATCACTTAGCAGTGATTGTGGTCAATGGGCTTCTGAATAGACACATCAACCCTGACACTCAACATAATGAAGACGTCCATTTTTGGTTATTACATGATGCACAGTAGTAAATTTGTCATTAAGAGGCGAAACTCTCGCATTTAGTAATAATCACCGCAATTTGTAATAATTTATTACAAAATGCCAGGAAATTTATTACATGTTGCGTTCTAGCCATTGCATAATGCGGTATTATTACATAATGCATTGTTACACGGCTCAAAGAAGCAGGGAGCTTCCAGGACCACAGTCATGTCAGGTTGCTGTGTCTTACCACATTGCTGCACTGCTATAGGTGTCTTTTACATTTCAAAAAAGAACACAGAATTAAAGCACTAACAGGAAAGAATCCCTTCAGACTGAGAAGCCAGGTGAGGGAGGTGATCATTCTATCAGAAATAAATTAACGACTCCCCAGTTCAAGCTCACACACTAGCCCATAGATTACTGGCCTCACCATTGACTCACACTCCAGAAATCTTCAGCACAAGAATAGCCGACCTCACTGGCAAGGACAGTCAAATACATAACTTAAGGGAAAAGTCCACCGAGGGCTAATTTTATTGGATCGTACTGAAATATGGTTTCTTTCTCTTTGGGCTGGAACCCTTAAAGGATGCCGAATTGACATTGAAAGACATAGTGTGACATCTGGTATTTTATGGGGAAAGAGGATTTAAGCCGGACTCTTCTGCCCTCCTCTAGTTACTGAATGTTCAGCGTTTCACACACCGGCGGTCGGAGGAACATCATTCGACTTGGTGGCTCTTACTCACCTCTGCAGGTTTTGCCATCAGCATTGAGTACAAAACCCTTTTTGCATCTACAGACGTAGGAGTCAGGAGTGCTGACACAGTCATGTTCACAGCCGTGCTTCCTATGGTCACAGTGATCTATAACTGAAACCACAAGACGAACTTAATGGCAACATATTATGAGCCATTAAATGAGATTTAAATCTATTATTAAAACAGATGGCACTTTATCATCTAAACTGGTGTTTTCTCTCAATTGGCTGCCTTTATACATCTAGCCCACTTCCTCACAAGACCCGCACAATCCCTTTCCCCTCCTTGTCCTCCTACAGTTTTGTGCAGTTGCCGTTTCTCCTTCATTTTTGGAACATCAACTTAAGTTCCCTTCCAGGGCCTGAGCCAGTAACTGCATCACAGCTCCGCCCACAAGCTAGTGCATGGTCCTGTGGAAGCGGACAGAACAGGGCGAGGTATCAGGAGGCGTTTGGTGGGTGGGGGGGGGACTACACTCCAGAGGAGACACCGGCCCCTGGCCATGACAGCCAGACTCCCTTAACAGCCCCAAGAAGAAGTCCTGTCTGTTGGAGACGGATACCCTCCACCAATCGGTGTTCCCGCTACTTCTGGCACAGCGCATAGACAAAACATCTGACATCTAAATTAGGACTTGGAGAGAAAATTCTTGAGATACAAAAGGTAATTACCAAATCATATCTCTTTGGCTAAAACAAACCAAATATCCGCCTCTCTAGATTCACCCAACTTCCATGACCACATGCCCAGTAAGCCGTCCTATCCTCCAAATGAGATGCTGATGCTGACCCATCATAGGGCACTCAATATCCCCAATCAGAATGCAAGAGGAAGGCAGTAAGAGTGTATAAACACACTGCACAGAGCCAGCCAGAAGCCAGAACTGAATTCACCACTCTGGAGATGAGAGATTAAACTGCTATCTTCTGATCTCCCATACCGCCCTAGAACCAACCCTCAAAATCAATAGGTAGCCCTTAACCATTAATTTAAGCACTAACCATCATCTATTAACCAATAGATTTGCCAGTAGATTTGTTACGTTGCACCACATCGACTTTTGTACCAATCTGGCTCCGACGGCAGTAAATGTACCGTACTTTACTGTATCCATCTGACAGACCACTTTACACGAACCTTGATCCTTCCTCCCAGACCTTTAGGACGGTTTATAATTCCTGTCCCTCTCACCTCTTCCTACTCCCACACTGTCGAGCAGCTGGTGGAGTTATGGGAAAACCATTCCACAGGAAATCTCCCAACCATACGCTAAAAGCTGCCCCAATACCAGAGGTGTGTCACATGTGGGTGATCAGGACACAGAGACCGAGCCCCGGCAGCGAGGACGGGGAAGCTTTCAGGAAACCTCTGGAGTCACCGCATTATCCTCCAGGGTTACACTGGCTCCAGCCTCAGTGCTACATATTTCATTCATGATAAAGTAAACTACCATTAGTCTCCATTTCTCACACATTTGTTCAGTGATCCACCTACATATTTCAGCTTTAAGCATATATGCTATGCCTAGTAACTCTAGGCTCCATTATCAAGCACCAATATACAGACTCATCCTGAACCTACACTATCATACATTTGTTGATAATTTTATCAGCTTCATAAATGAAATGACTTCTGTGATCCAGCTGCATAAAGGAACTTTAGCATAGCATTAGCATAATCTGCCCACAAACTCAATGGATAAACAGAAATGCATCTAGCCTCTGAACCCAGCTAACATGACCATTTCCAGGAGTCCCACTAACAGAGAGTCCCCCCCGCCCAGAGTCCAGCATTCCTCAGTCAGGTTTGTCTAAAGCATAAAAAACAAGCTTACAAACACAAAATTTCATTATAAAGTAAACAAAAAATGTTTCACCACAAATTGCAATTTATTCCCCAAAACAGAGCTATAGAATAACTAACAGCTCATTTCAACGTGACAGTTTCAGCCGTAAGTCTACAAGTTTGTTCCCTCACCTTGGCAGGTTTTTCCGTCACTGTTCAGAACGTAGCCTTTCCTACACCTGCACATGTAGGAGGTGGGGGTACTGACGCAGTGATGGTCACACCCGTGGTCCACCACAGAACACAGGCCAGCGCCTGACAAACGGCATGGTCAGTCACATGACACACAGACGAACCCTTAACTAATAGTCCCAAATGGACAACACTGCCATGTTATGGATATAAATCGCTAAAGCAGAGCAGATATACCGTTGGCAGAAACCAGTTTTGCTCAAAATGCTGTAAAAGTACACAGGTGCACTAAGCGGTTTCAAAAAAGATTTCATGGGCTAGGAACATCAACCGGACGGAAACTAGTCGCACTTTCTTCCAAAAGAAAACATTCCTGGGGACATGCCGTGTGCAAAACCCATTACAAATAGGAAAAACAGTCACTCTATTCTGCTTTCTAGGGACGTCTGTCACATCTTGTGCTTCAATGGCCAGAAAAGCAAAGTACACAAAACAGAAAGCTGAAAACCTGTACAATTATTTATGGGACAGATGAACAAAGAATGAGTTTAGAATACATTTTTTAAAACCCTGTAACAACAGATTATGTAATAACAAGACTAACAAATTTTCACTTCATTATGTAACAGCAACTGCATTTTGTAATTATCCATCGCATTATGTAACAGACAGTTTGAATGCTATATGTAATAAATCTCCCTGCATTTGTAAATAATTGATTACATATTGCGGTGGTTATAACAAAATTTGGGAGTTGCATTTTTTAATGAGGAAAATGTATGTAATTAAAAACAATATGTAATAAACAACCAAATATGCACGTCTTCATTGACACTTATTACATAATACAATGATATGCCACAATACATTGTTACAAACCTTGCATTCAGCTCAAAAGGAAAAAAAACAATCCTGGATTGAAGGCTTCATAATTACCATAATTATTAGAAAGGGGAAAAGAAAAAGAGGCAAAGATGTGGTCTCACCTCCACAGATCTTGGACTGGAAGACAGAGGTGAGAGTCTCGATCTGGCTGAAGTTGGCCACCAGGAAGACGTGCTCTGCATGAGGCTCGCTGCCGATGGCAAGCAGCGTATTCATGTCCACCCGCCCGACACCGATCGCAAAGATCTCAATACCAGCACTGCGTGCACTGGCAGCTACCTCATGCACTGTATCCTGGGGGCGCCCATCAGTGACCACCATGGCCATGCGGCGCACGTTTGCGTCTGGTGAGCGGGCCCCCTCAGCCTCGGAGAATGCCACATTCATGGTGTACTCGATCGCCAGACCTGTCATGGTGCCACTGGCCAGCTGAATCATATCATCCACAGCCTTCTGCATGTCAGACTTTCTCTGGAAGTCCCGGAGGAAGAACTCATTCTGCACCACACTGCCATACTGCAGTAGTCCTACACGGGTAGCTTCAGGACCCACATCCAGGAATTCCAGTATGTTCTTGATGAAGGCCTTGACCTTCTCGTAATCATGGGGCCGCACACTACGGGAACTGTCGATGATGAAGACAAAGTCCAGGGGCTTCCCTTTGCATGGGCTTTCTGGAGGACAGAAGAACCAAATAAAATAAACTCCTGATCCCAGCCATAAACACTTCAGACACCTGGGTCCACAGACACAGACTCGGCAGATGGTCCATGATACATTGCTTTTCTGCTATTGCCAGCTTAATCCACAACAAATATTTGGACTTCAAAGACATCACACACCAAAGCAGCAAAACAAGCATGACCTCTTTGTTGAGGACTTACCCAATAAAGGGGTGTCATTCCCTTTCTTATTGACTGCAGGATGTGAATGGTGGGAATGAAGGTCGGCAACAGCTGAATGACCACACAGGAAGCAGAGTAGGCAAGTCAGTGTGACCCTCATCTTAACCCAAGGTGTCCTGGGGGCCACAAAAAAAAAGACAGACATCTTACTAATCACCCCTTAGCTGTGGTAAGACATCTATTTACACAGGCTTCTCTGGTTCTAGGTGAATCACATGACATGCATATATCTGTATCCAAGTCCATCATAAAAAAAATGCTTTAATGACACAACTTACCTAATATGGGCGTCTAGCTATGGAATCAGGGGCTGAGTCAAGTTTACATTCTTAACTTTTTTTTTTTTTTTTTTTTTAGGAAGATTGGATCTAACAATGCCCATACTTCCTAAATTTATTGTATGAAACACACATATGAATTAACAAATGTCGATGCCCTGTAGGCACTGAAATTGTTATTTTACAAAGGTTGTCATTCGGAATATATATGTGTATAATTTGTTGCTCCACCTGACACTATTCAGCCATATTCGTTGTTAACCCTTCTGACATTCAGTCAGACTCGGATTCAGGCATGGTGCAGCACCTAAATGAGGAACCTCTCATACTGTCCATGTTATACATTCTCAGATGAGGTGTTCCTGACCCAGAAATTTTGACATGACCGTCACCATGAGTCAAGAATCTGTGTTTTCTAATGAAAGCAGAGCAATATTAGTGAAATAAATGAGGCAGACCTTTCAGAAAAGGTCACTGACTACTTTGGGGGAAAATAACTGAAAAGAATAATCTACATGTCAGATCTAGGACATTACCTAAGGTATTGGCAAAACGGCTATTGGGATTTACCACTCCAACCACATGATTCCAGAACAATGGATTTTCATCAAGATTATATTACACCTTGTAATACTGTACAAAGTTTATTTTCACATGCAAAGATCTACTGTTACCAGTTAGAAGATGGATATTCCAGCTCAATGAGAATTACCATGTAAGGTTCTGAACAGTTTTCCATGAGTATGCATTGGGCGTAGGAAAGTAAAGTAGATTAACCGCCTTTCAGCCAAAGATGCGATTTTAAAACGATTAATGCCCATAGACGCAATTACCGTTTCTTTTCCCGGACGATTTAAACCTGACATGCTTTTACTGCTGGTCCACAACAGAGGGGCGACTAAAAGTGAAATAAAGATGCAGGTTTTAACGAGAAAGAGGTGTTTGTCCAATGCATCCTAACCGACATCGTAATAGCTATGCGGCCATCCACAAACCAAGGGGGCAGGAGAGCATTTACCTTCAAACACATATGGACCGCGACACCCCACCCCAATCGTCCTGCGTCACTACACAGTATTTAGGAGATAGGAGCCTATAAACCAGTCCACAATTCTTTTCCAAAATTAAAAAGCGTACATGGTCTCCTGACACAAATACCACATATTACAAGTGAGAAAGCAAACAAGTGCAAAAACAAGACAGATGCGCGCGAAGTGTATCAGTCGGTTAGGCAGCACTGCACGGCGACTGTCCCCGCATGAAACGCCGGGGGCCACGGCAGGATTCATCACGCCCAAATACAATGGCAGGTAAATACTAAGCTACTCAAGTGCTCATTCACCATAATACCGCAGACAGAAAACCCTATCTTGTGACTTGTCTTGCAAAATTATAAAAAAGAGGTAACTTACCTTAAAAAGGAACAGGAAAATCCTGTAGCAAGCGCCAGATCCAGTGATGTCTCCGCAGTGCACCTGGGACACAACCCACCGGAGGATCGAACTGGGAAATAGGTTCAGCTGCACTTCACGCTTTTACCTCCCTTGTAGTGTCCGGCATCTCCGGCGCCTCCCATTCCCTAATCGGGAGTCTCTTTCCGTTTTCTGTCTGTTTTATTTGGCTTATACAATACACGTACATGTAAACAATAGCTGGTTCATAGAAAATTATATTCTAATGTCTTAATTTTGAAGGATAGATTTTCTAAATCATTTAGAAATCTTAAAGTTTTTCAATATTCAGAAGATTTATGGTAAACTTAAAATTGTACAAATATATGCAGACTTGTATAGACTGGGAATGCCTTTCGTAAAAAGAGATTTAATTAACTGTACTGATGTTAGTTAAGATGAAGTAAAATCTCTTGCAGGAAGCAAATACAGTAGCTACACTCTTAACTGTCTTAAAAGTATTTGCGCTTCTCCATAGCGTCTTTTTCCTTTTATCATAAACAATATCTACGAAGTGCACGCTAAATTTATGTTCCACTTAAAAAGGACTCAGTAAATGATCTATCTGCTGTAGAAACACAGGCACTGACCTGATAAAATCTGTAAGACACACAGATTAAAATCAATAGCCTCTCTGAAACGAAATTCTATCCCTTATGAAAAATTATGAATTTGTAAATTGTCTAAAGAGGTCTTCAGAAATTGAGAATTATTTTTCCTTTGTATATCTTGCGTTTACTGGGAAAATATCAAATAACTGTTTACATTTATAGAGATGTTCAATACATTAACGGTAAACATTTTCTGGGCATTTATAATTCAACCACAAGCCTGTCACATTTCTATGTAGTGGGTAATTAAATGAGAATTTTGAATTTTATTATTGCCCGATTCTTTAATGAACTTTTATTTTTTACGCATGTAGCATACTTTAACAGAAAGCACCTTTTGTGGATGAAACTCAAAACTTTATTTTAAACCAAAACACAAACCATCTCAGCTCTTACAACAATATGAAGGTATCTGAATGAACATTACACTGGGAAAAAAAAACATTTGTTCAACTGGCCTACCTTCTGCATTTTTAACCTTGGGTATTTTTCAAAGCTTGACCAGGACAAACAGAAGATAGATGAATGGGATGGATGGATGTTTTTGAAGGTCGAAAAAAGTGATGGAACACACTTCCACTCATCCCCGTTTAAATGTTCCAGTGGAATAAAGTGCTTATCTCCCACTTATTGGCTCTGGAGCCGTTGGTTTATGCCATGTACAAAGATCAGTATGCATGCACTTTCAATCAGTATTTATACAGCATAAAAGAATGTAATATAACAAACAGATTGTGTTTTCACCAGTGGTGACCGAGGACCAACGATTCAATAGCAACATTTGTAATATTGCAAGTGTGTGTGTGTATATATATATATATATCAGCTATCCTTTGAAGATATAAAGATATAAAAGTAGAACATGTCACTGGCTCCAGCAAAAACATTACAGTAAAAGGTATGCTTGCCTTACTGGTTCCTACTTCAAGCATAATCTCTTAGCACAGATGTCGATATCCAAACTTTTTAGCACTACAGTAATATGCACTTTAAGTGTGCCATGTATAGTATTAACCACCAGTATGCTTTAGAATCCTACACGACAGTGGATGTCAGAAAATACTAGACAGTGACCTGGTTGTTTAGTTACAGAAACATAATTCATTTGGATAAAGACAATACATAGTGTTTATGCTCCAGCTGAAAGCTTGGTCCATCATTTTTCCAGAAATACCGCCTACCAGTATTGAACCCAGAGAGACAGACGATCTGCATTATGTTGCAATAGCCTAGTTTAAAAAAAAATGTTTTTGACTTTTCTCCTATTTCTTGCATAGAAAATTACATTTAGAAATGAAGACACTCAACTGAAGAATGCAAACAATCAGCTCAAAAATAATAATTATTGTTATGGACAATGACACATGCTGCAATATTATTTATATTAGGGATGCATTGATACCATTTTTTTCAGGCCAAGTACGAGTACTGATGCTCGCTTTCTGGTACTCTATAGTAGTGATTCACAAACTTTTTATACCCCAAACTGTCTCAGAAAGTCTAATATTCTCTGCTTACCACCATTACATTATGCTTGATCGTCAAGAACAATATATACCGGCTTAGAGCTGCTGCTGTTTTTCCTGGATGGGGGTTGAAGTTTGACATTTTCTCGCTCTGTGCTAATGTTTGCTGCATGGTGGGTTGTTGCAGAGTGTTTTGGAGGCTATTACATCACACTCTTTCTTGTTTAGTTTTCAGATGTTTAATTAGATTACTTGTGTTGTATAAACTTGTTTTTGTATCATATTTTAGCACAGCACAGTTTGCAGTCTGCCATGCTTTGGTTTTTGTGGTTAATTTTGAAGCGCCACCAAACATTTCGTGGTCCCATTTATTTCTCTCATTAACGATATCGCGGCTACATCACGTCATTATTACGAGGATCAGTATGTGTACATGATCACTGTATCAGACCTGATACTGATTATGGATATCAATGCACCCCCTAATTTATACACACAGAAAATCATGAGATCATTTAAATTTGATAACCGGGTAGGTGCAAATTTCTGGACACCCCCATATGTGGAATTGCTTCATCTGGCATATCTTCCCTACTAAAGTGCAACCATTGACAAAAACTCATTTGTAAAGGTGATTTCAGACAAAAAAAATAAAATAAGAAAAGAAAATTGGCCTCTTGGAGTAAATCAAAACAGCAATTCTATTTTGAGGAGCATAATGACACTGCAAAGTTTAAGGGGGTTTTTAAAGCCCTGTAATTAAGGAGGAGGCGTGGCCTATAGCTGTCAGGTGACCAGCATTTTGCATTCTGATTAGCTCCATTAGTCCAATGAATATAAAATGCTGCAACATTTTTGTTCTCAAGCCCTAGTAACCTGAATAGAAATGCTGGCAGAACTGCAAGCTTTCCTGTCTCCATTCCAAACGTTATAATTTAATTCCCACCCCTACCCTATCCTCACTGCTTCTGGAAACAGCTCGAATTCCCCCAAATAAAGGCCCTGTTCCCTGACTCATGGCCCCATGGTTCTATTTGCAGTCTTGACAAGATACTGTATTCACGGTGAACTGTTATATTTTTACAATCAGCAGCAACAAAAGAAAATGTAGAATTTGGAGACGTCTGGACTATAAATGGTAGTGATATGTATGTTTATATCTCAATATCATGACCGGTGATTACACATCAAATTAAGACTATATATGACTTTCATACCTGAAGGCCTAATACATCCAGCAGAACCTCTAACTTTAGATCATTAAACATAATGTGGGTAGAAAGTGAATGGAAACTGATGCATTAAAATGTGCTAAATGTCTCTCTGGGTGCAGAGAGAACAAGGTGACAGTGTTTTGTACAGTGGATACACACAGGCTGGATGGATGTCAGACTGGGACTGTGCATTAGAGAGTGAAACCTGCCCGCAAATGAGAGACCGGGGGAGGGATGGGGAAGGGAGGGGCACATTCTGTCATGCCCCAGGATATGGGGGAGGGGGGTGCTTCGGTGGAATAGCCACAGCCTCTTCATATGGGGGCAGGAGCACCTGAAAAAGACACATTAAATCATACAGTAAGTTGGTGTCCTTTAAAATCCTTGAATCACCTCACTTTGTATAAACACTTAATCGATATTAAATAAGAATAACATCTTTAAAAATACATTCGTCAGGTCTGAAAAGAGGTAGCATGAAAGTTACATATAAGCAAACTTTCCAGAGTCTTATATACTTATATACTATTCTTTCAGCATTATTTTAAAGAAATATTCAGCATGTATGCTATAATATACAAGAGGCTTATCTGTTTAGAAGGATCCAAGTTAAAATAAAATATGTGGTGTGTATTTTGTGCTTTTACTTAAAACATGGCTTGGGATTTGTTAGTAAAAAAGTAACACAGCGCTTAGTCATTTTCTATTGAAATTCAGTTCTGCTGCGCTACAATATATTTTTGAGTCATTTTGAAATACAAATAATAATGGTACTGAAAAAAACATTTAAAGTTCAAGATGTATATAATTGTATATAATGTTAATCAGGAAGAGTTTAAAAAGCCTCAATAAAATAAGACTGAAACTGACGGTAGCCTGATACAACAATCAATGAGAGGATGTCAAATGCCCATGACAAACAAATGCAACACGTGACACCCTGCAAGGAGAGAAAAAGGCGACACATTTCAAAATGTTACTGAAAAAAACACAGTGACCGATAATGGTAATGTTCATAACATCAGAAAATCCAGGCAAAACACTCAAGTAACTGAGTGTTTATTGTGACAAAATATTGGTACATCCCCATTAAAACGTATAAGTCGAATTTGCTATTCCTGCTAACAAACACAGATCCCCTCCACGGATCACTGCACATTTCCTACGACCTCAACAAACAAAAATCCTCCTACATGTGACCTCAACTTCACCCAGGTAATGAAATGTAGGAGCTTCAGTGGTGTGTTAAGCTTCAATCAGCCATCACTGGATGTTCAGTTCCAACACAGCTCTGTGAGAGTCTGGCCTAATCAGAGTTGGTTGAAGAGTTTAAATTTTAAAGTGTCTTCTTGAAATTCTATACCTGTCAACGCTTCTATAAAGCCCTGATGCAAAGGTCACAATTAATTACCGTTGCATTGTTTTAGTTTGGTTTACGTCATCAACACGAGTAAGAGTAGCAACAGCACCATCAATACACTAAAACAGGTGCAGGATTAGCTTTTTTGCAACCTTTCACAAAGTTTCCCTGAATGACAGTTCTCAGTTGAGAATCATGGGTTATTTTTCAGCTCAATTAACTCAGTCAGCCGAGCATCAGATTACACTGCAAATTGCATTAACTCCTGGAGACCAACCAAAACAGAATTCTACACCTTTAACAAATCAACCACATCAAGCCAGGAGTGTCTAGGCTGAATGAAATGCATCTTACTGAGCAAACATAACGGAAATGTTTGCATGTTTATGGTGTATTTTTTATTTGGTGGTTTAGGAACAATTTACTTTTTTCAATTTACTTAAGACAGCAGTCACCAACTGTTCGATTACGACTGACAGGTTGATCAACAGCGCAATATATTGAGGGGTAACTGGTTGACAAAATGTATACATTCACATATGTACACAGTTCCATCCATAAAATAAGCAGAGGTAGTTCTTTTCATTTTGTGTGGTCCACCATAGCTATGACTTAACAATACCCAGAAAGTACCGTGCTGTGTTTTTCTCAGAACAGGCTGGTAAGTTCAGCAGCTGACACCTGATGGAGAAACCAGACCCTGTCCATCGACTGTGCTCATGTCATTCATCTTGGAAGTATGTCCTGCAGTCACGTAAATAGGAAGTTGTGCATTTGGACACATTTGGCCAATTTGACACCAAGTCAAGGAATTTTCACTACGGCTTATAAACCATGCTTTATTGCTCATAGCATGATGCCATATGCATGCTGATGTGTAATTCAGAAGCAGTTGGAGCAGCCCCCATCCTTGTGCAACAGAACTTTAGCAATGGGAATTCTTCGTTAAATGAGTGTACACAGCATGAATTTGCCCCCTTAAACTGTATATGAAACCTTTCTCAGAGGTTCCCTTCTTTGCTGTTTAATTTGGAAAGTTAAGAACAGAGACAGTGCACTGAATGAAGACGCCTGGGTGAAATATGGCAGACTAATCCTATAAGAATCTCAGAAGCTTGTGGAGGTATCAGCAGCAGGGGTTTGACTAAGATGGGGTGGGGGGTACATTAATCCACAGCGATGTGTAATAGGTTAAAAAAACAAAACATTTTTCACATCAATTTAATGCCCTTACAAAGGAGACCCTTGACAGGGAATTTTTCCCTGCTTACCGTAGTGTCATTAGTAGTAACGTACACCAACACCTCAGTGGTGCTTCTCCTTCGGACATATCTGTAGCAGTTCCAGACACAGCTAATCAAGTAAGCCTAAGGAGTGAAGCAAATTCCCATATTAATATCAGGCATAGTACTGTACACCATAAGAAAGTTCAATTGCTGTACGAACTGGCATGCTGCTGGCAAACAGAACACCACATGCAAACCCGCAAGACCTGGCGCTTCAATCGGAAATCCAGCACCAAGTAGGATACCGCTGCCCAAAGGCAATCTACATCTCTCACACAAGGATAAGTATGCTGCTAATTAGAATGACACATTACCATACAACACAGTGCCATTCTTGCATATGTGGTTTGATATATTACTATTTAACAGAAATTATTAGAACAATTAAGGTGGCGTGGAGGACCACTGCATAGCACTGTGCTCTCATACTGCCAGGTTTAGGAGTTTGAACCCTGCCCCATTCTGTGTGTCCTCCAAGACATGCAGCTAGGTGATGTGGCATCTGTAAATTACCACCAGTGTCTTTTTCTAAAATGGACTGGTATCCAATTGATGTTTCCCTCTCTTGCTACCTGGGATAAACTCAAAGCTCCCCATGATTCTGTACTGGCAATTATGACAGAAGACAGAATTCAATGTGAAGAACCTTCAACATCTTTCAGCATCTTGTGTCAGTGCTGCAACCACCCATTTCCCCATTAATGGTTTGCAGTAACATTTTAGGTAAGCAGTACTGAAGGAGTTGGATCCAAAGTTAAAACAGCCATTTCACAGACCCGTTAAATCTGCAGTAAACTGTACCCAAGGCGCCACCAAAAATGACTTGAGTACTCTTTCATATGATTTTCCTTTTCTCTCCTTGATTCCTCATAATGTATGCAATACCATAGTTATCCACATGGAATTATCCCAGCAGCTGTATTCGGGACCAATAACATATGCCATGATAATACACAAGCAGACTAGTAATCAATTAATCCATCCATCCATTTATCTTGAAAAAGGAAAGTGAATACACACAGCTACCCTACAAATAGTGTGTGTTTATTTGCGAGGGAATAGACTAAACTGTGACAGATGCTTCTTGACCTATTTTCCTCTATGTTTCTCAAAGCACTCCCTTTCCCCAAAGGGATATGTCTACTTTCATCAGTAACAGCTACTGAGAAGTCATTTTTTTCCGTACGGGTGTACTGGGGATTAACCATGTATCATGATAATGTCACTTTGTGCGTATATATGAATATTCTGCAAAAAGAATATGCAGAGACCTTAAGCTGGGAAATGTGCAGCTACACACGGCGACGGAACAAGGTCGTTACCTTGAAACCAAGGATGCAACCGATGAAGAGAAGCACGATAAGCATCAGACACATACTGTTCATGGACATAAATTCCTCCTTGTACGGGAAGTTCCCTGGCTGTGAGAGAAAAAAACAAACGTCTGATATGACATGCCAGCATCAAGTTTTGGAGGCCAAGAACCAAATGTTTTGGAAGGCTCAGATATGGAGCCACTCACCAGCTCCTGAAGATATTGCTGAATGGTGCTGGGGTACACCACAACACTGACGGCCACCATTAAATTAAGGGCAAAATCAAATACTTGGTAGCAGAAGAACGGGATTATCCAGGCAGCATGTTGCTGTAAAGATAAAAAAAAAAAAAATCTGTAGGGACTGGAAAATTATTTTGACATCATCATTGGGAAGCTTTCTTGATAGATGAATCACAAAAGACGGGATTAAGTTTAAAAAATCAGGAATATTTGCCAGTTGCAAATATGGAAGTCTGATTCTCAACGTGCCATCATGTATGGCTTTGTAATTCATTTTGGAGAGGTATATTTATAACTCAGAAATATTTTGCCCTGTTGCTTCCTTCCTATTTATATTCATGTAAGAGGTTATAAACAACTATAATTGTACCATAATATAAGTTTCAATTTCATTGCAACTTATTGCTCATATTTACTAAAACATATCATTTACATGGTATTTATAATAAAACTTTTCTAACTTTTTCTAACTGGGTTACTATGCTAAATTCTGACTAGAAGTGTCTAATTTTGCTTATACAAATACCTTATAAGCACCATATGTTGCCATTCCACAAATCAATATCATTAGAAGCGAGATTGCTGTAGCAATGCACATATCTGGGGAAAAAAATAATAAATTAGAAACACAAAAGTTATCATTATATCATCACCCATGATGTAACAGTACATAGCTTCACACAATAAGCAAAATCTCCACAGACGCCTTTACCAAACAGGACATAAATCATTAGTTATTTAATCTAATAGTTGAGTCAATCGTTCACATCTGTATTACAAGCATATGAATGCATATGATTGGCCCCAATGTGCCTTACGGTTCACTTTATGTGAGACATACAGGGAGTTGTAGGATTAATTCAGCTCACATGAACTGACTGGAGTAACAGCAGGCCCAAAGCCTAGGATGAGCTTCAGTGAGTCATCTCGCAATGCTTAAGCAGCGATACGAAATACAGCACCAGAAATAACTCTGACCTTGACCTGCATTGACAGATGTAAGGTGAGTTGACATGGACCGCCCAAATGTAAAACTTCCACAAAGGCTTACATATGAAAACTACACACACAAAGTTAATGTGTGTGTAGGTTAATACCTACACTGCAGCAGCATATTGCACTCAGTTAATGGTGTCATCCACTTTGAGACAACTTACGCAAATATATTACAATATATACGTATATTTTTATACTACTGACCTTTTAGGAAGGAACTAAATGTGAGTCAACTGAATTAAAAATGACCCTGGCTGAGTGAGCATCACAATGTTATCTGTTTTCCCCAATGCAGCCACATAAATGATACATTCTTACAGGAACTTAGAACAGAAGCAAATAATTACTGCATGCAATACTAAAAACGCAGAAATTTCAAGGTGGCCACTGAATAAGTCATATCATGAATCCAGACCATAATATCCTTCACAGCATTTTATCTTGTGTTCGATAAGTTGGCTATGTTGGATTGTTGTATATGCCTTCAACTACGTGTTTTTTCCGTAAAATGTATTTTTTGTTGGTCAGTTCTGAACACTTGCACAAAAGCTTTTGGTAGGTTTAAATATTGCAAAGTTTGTAATAGAATTAAAAGCTAAAAAAATTACAAAAATCAAATTACATTACATAGCTTACTACCAAAGCATGGTACGTATTCATTTAATTCTGTCAGGCAATCGATCATCAATAATGATCATCAAATCCAAACAGAAATGGTCCTTCCTATGCGACAACAGAGGTGCTGATGCAATAAAAAATTAAAAAATAGAATGACAGACAGGCCCATTTCCTAAATCCCTCATCTGTGTTTGGTAGACTGGCAGCCGCAGTATTACAAAATAGAGATGCTGGTTGGGGTCTTAAAGCTTTGCCCCAGCTCTGACACAAGACGGTCTGAGCCAATGGCAGGAAATCACATAGCTGCCTAATCCTCCCAAACTGGGACAGTACAGTCAGTATTAATCAAAGCCACTGATGGAAGCGGGAGGCATGTCCTTTCGGCATTATCCTCAGAGTCAGTGGGTATTTTTAAAATAATAACAGCTCAGTTGGTTTTTAGAGATGCTCATGTCAAGACTGAAAATAGTGTTTAATGTGGCAGAGCCGCATCCAACAACGCTGACCGATATGAGTTTGTGGGACTGAGCACGTGATCTCGGCATGTTCATCTTTACACAGCGTGCCACGTCACAAACTCATGCATGCAATCTTTCTGTGGCTATTCATTTTGTATAGGTGGAGTTAGGTTTGCTGGTTCAAATCTCGCGAATGCCCAGAGTCATTCTACTCCGTTGGGCCCTTGAGCAAGGCCCTTAATCTGCAGTTACTTCATCCTGGGTATGACGTTAATCTACATCCAGCCCTATAAGAACGTCCTCCAACTTGGGGGTTGGTGGCAATAATGGCAGTCCAACCACCAGAAAAAACCTCACACTGGTCCATTCAGACTAGTGTGGTGCTGAGGTATCACCCACTTCATGGCTGCAATCAGACTCTCATCCCTGAGGTGGTTTGTCATGTGGTGGGTGTGGCAATGCACTGTAATCAGTACATGCTCCTTACCTACCTTTACCTTATGTATTCACTTTAATTGAATTTCATGGGACAACACTTTTCAACATATAACATGTAGACCTTACAAATAAACCACTGATCATCAGGTTACAAATTTATGCATTTAACCACCCAACTGCCGCATGAAATCTGATGATGGCTTGTCAAATCCCAGCAAGAATTTAATGACTTCGGATTTATAAAACCATAATCTCTAGTTTGGAAGTTTAAATATTCTGTTCATGCAATAAAAGTTGTTATTTAAGGTTCATCTGTGTTTCAGTGTAATGGCATGGATTATGTCTTGACTTCAGCCAGTAACCATTTCCTCCAAGGACCCTCTAGAACAGGGGTGGGCAATCTTATCTGCAAAGGGCCGGTGTGTATGCAGGTTTTCACTGCAACTCCCTAATTAGGTCACTAATTAGAGGACTGATTGGCTGAAGAGTCCTCACACCTGGGTTTGAACAGCTGACCTAAAGGTTATCCCAAAAACCTGCATACACACCGGCCTTTTGGCGGCAAGATTGGCCACCTCTGCTCTAGAATGACATAAAAGTAAGCCATGATATTTTAAAATTATATCATCTAAAGGATATGGAATTGGTATTTTACGGAGGTCGTGCCCATACTTACTAGCATCATCCATGACATCGAGGTCATTGGCCAGTTCAGCACTGGTCAGGTGGAACTGGTCAGGGTCACTGAGGGAAGTCAGCAAAATGAGCAGCACCACAGCATTGATGAGCTGTCAGTGACAGGATAATGAGACATCCAAAGTATTTAGAAAAGAAGGGTTCCAATAACCCTCTTCACACATGTATTACATAAAATCAGGCATAGTTAAATCAGGTTACAATTTTACGATGCATCTTATGTCTTATAAAAATTAAAAAAGTCTGAATAAGTATGAATAAGCTAGACGTTGGTTTCAAAAACTGTTTTTTGTCCCTTCACTAAGTGCTGAGATGATGTTGAAGTTGAACATGATGCCAAGTTCAATGTATTGGCTTTTCTGATTATTTATATTTATGCTTGAAAAATTATTGGCTGAACTCCTAACCAACAGCCATCACTGTTCCACATAACCAGCAGTGTCATCTGTTAGATTCAATTTATTCAGTGCTCTTCAGTCTATCGAATGTGATGCTGCTGTTAATGAGTGAGTTCAGGCAAGTGCACAAGGTGGGGGAGGGGCTGGGGTGTCTGAGCACGTGCACCTGCCCATTTTGCCAGGACTATTTCATGTTAACTTGTGCTTTAACGGTACTGAGTGCCACTCTTTTTAACCTTTGAGCAACTGCCCCTCAAAAATTCTCTACGCAGCCCTGAAGCACTTCGACCTTAACCAAAAACATCAAAGTAACATTGCGCGTTATGGCACTATCACTCAGCAGCAATAGGTTACTCTCGCCAGGATCCGTCTCTGGTTCTACTCACTAATAGCACTCCGAAACTGATCCGAATTATAACTAAATAAACGCCCACAAAACGTTTACCTGTCATATTTATAAATGCCCTGACACCTGACAACATAGTACCTGTAAAAGTCTCTGCAGTCACAACCCAAAACTAGTAAAAACAGGTCCACGGCTCGGCCACCCAGGACACCCAGGACTGGAGGACAGCTCCGCGTGGGATTGCGCTCGAGACGCTCGCGCCGATAACGGAAAACCCGACGTCGTCTCGTGAAACCGCATCTTTCCGGCCGGCGGAGGCTCGGGTCGGATTTCGGCGTCTGCTGGGTCGCCAATTCACACAGAGAACCGGCCGAATAAAAAATGTATGAGCGCAACGCAGACGTGCCCTACTTGGTTCTAGTAAGTAAATTCGGAATTAATAATCTTTTTTTGCTTTTGATTCAATTTATACTTAACCGCGTTTGTGAACGGCGATCCAGTTCACATTTACAATAAACTTTTGGTTTATCCATTTAGACAAACTAGATATTACATTGATTTAAATTATTATGGTTACATGATACGGGGATATAACTTCTCCCGTGAACAGTATGGCTAGAGCACAAAAAGTGTGTTTTTCATGTACAGAAAACCCGAATATTTCAAATGTGAGGATTCGACTTGTTTTTAAACAACCGATTTAGTAGTATTGCTGCGACTGTCTTTTTATATTTTACACTTACTTAACATTTTATGCTTCATATTTCAAATATTTTCCGTCGACTAAAACTTTAAGCTAAAGCAGCCACATTGTCTTACAGGGGATTTCTTCAACGCGTACATACAATTGCTACGTACGTGATAAATAAAATCACTATTCATTTAAAGATGTGAAGTATGCTACTCACTGTTTTGTGAACAAACTGTGCGGACATTTAACACAGCCGTGGTTAGCTGTATACTCGAATGTACCGAAAACATCTAAATGTAAAGCTTGTGAACAGATCCCATATAAACGTTTGCAGCGCGCGGGAAGGGCAAAATAGCGCTCACCATGTACCAGATGCCGAGTATAATGGTGCCCGTCCGAACGTGGCAACAGAGGCAGCAGCCCGTGGACTGCGACTGGTCCCAAGGGGAAATCATCATTGCGATCCACCAGATGATTTCACGTACGGTCCTTCAGTTGTTGGGCATGTGGGCCGATTGGGGCGTCTCGCAGCCAGTCGTCGTGGATCTGTGTCCTCCGCGACGAGACTTCGCTGTCGTTCAGCACCAACGGATAAACACACACACACACACACACACATCACGTGACCCAAGCTAGGCTCTAAACAGTGACCGTGGAATCCGTGATGAGGCGCGCTGGGAAATTAAAATTGCAAAACGAAAGATTGTCTGACACTGAAATTGCCCTTTATTTGGTTGCTTGTACTGACTAAAAATCTTTTGGTGTCTATTGGCCAGTCGTCATTATACTTCTGTAAAGCTTGAGTGTCTGTAAACCGTTTCCATGCTGTTGATAGTCAATGTCAGTCGCCGTAGTGGGGTCAGTGTTCCCCCATTTACCGTGAAGAGTCCAGAGATATAGATGTGAGTACTGTCCTATAGATTACAGTAAAAAGTCGACATGAATATTCACCTAGAGGTCGAATCTGGAACATGTTTTGAACTGAAGAACAGCAAGCAGATCCTTGAATAAGTTAAGGGATAAAGGTAACTGTAGCTCATAACATGGTAACTGAGTCTTATGTGACACCAGCTAAATCTGAGCTTGTATCACTGCTGTGTAACAAATCCTTTTCACCTTCCTACTGCCAAATAGTTCTTCAAAAGGGCAGAGGGAACCTAATGATTATGGACTTAAGGTCAATGCTCCAAATAGTTAGCTATTAGGGACAGGGAAAATGTAAAAGTGGGGAACCACCCCAAATATTGCCTCAGGCCTAATCCTAGGACCATACCATGGATTCGACCAAAACTTTATATGTATTCTAAAGAATACTCAGCAACAGATTTTTCCCCAGGAATAAGAACTTGTATATGACCTTCTGCTTCAGAGGACACCCACAGGATATGGTCAGTTTTAATTTCCTTTTAATGTCTTGACTGTTCAATTTGTCATCTTATATTTCAAACAATGATGCCACCTAACTTTAAAAAACATATAGACAAGAGCTGTGTATACAGCGTGAAGAACAATGGTGGCTGGAATTTGTAACAGTCTTCTAGCAGCTTAGTGTTCTTGTCAATCAGGTTAATTCCAGCATTTAAAATTACCTCAAAGTATAGGTAAATTGTCAGCCTAAAATTCCACATATAACAAAGCCAGTGACTGATGGATACAGCACCTCTTCATACATTTTACTTTTTTTTTTTTTTTTTTAAATAGGCAGTATTAGCTGTATTGGATGCATAGCCATTTCCTTCTGCGGGTGCCTGTCAAGCATTAAATCCGTATGAGACTGATGGGCATATTGTCTTCTTGACATCTTTTAACAGGCTGGGAATATACAAATAACTATTTATTATAGGACTTAAAACATGCTCAGCATGTCACACATTGGCAAATGTGATATTCAGTAAAATAATCCCATTCAGGTGACATGGAAAGCCAGTTAAGCATCTCCAACCAGCAAAATAAGGATTAACAGGACACAAACCTCCAGCTGTTACATTCTCTATAAATATCCCTTTTGTAGAAGCCAAAAGACAAGATGTACATATCAAGTTTCTCAATTTATTTAAAGAAAAATCAACTAAGAAATGACATGGCATATTTAACAAAGTCTTCAAAACACGTGATCTTAATTTTGCAAACCGCAGAAAAAGATACAAATACACATCTCAAAGTTTTAGTTAGCATTATTGTCTGGGAAAACAAAACCAGTGAGGCAGGTCTTACTGAAGCTGTATCAGGCTTGTTTACACAATGCAACAACTCTGAAGGGCTGAGAAAACCTTCACATCTTCCACAACAAGGTCCTAACAGTGCCTGCCTCAGCAAAAGCCACAGACTTTTACTTCAGGATGATATTTGTGGTCCACGTTACAGGTGAATACACATTAATAATAATAATAATAATAATAATAATAAAAAAAAGCCATTTGCTGTTCATTGCATTTCTTACATCAAGACTATTTAGACTCAATTACCAAGTAGAAACTTGCCCATTAATTTGTTAGGTGTTTGAACATAGTACTTCGCAGAAGGGAATAATTTTAAGGTCAGACTTCAGTCACATAGTTGCCCTGGAAAAAAAAGCTCAAAAACACAAACACTGCAGTGCCGGATGGGGGTTGGAAAGAACAGGATATTATACACATACACACACAGTTGAGGTTAAGGCAATAGAATTTCATTCCTGATAATTTATTAATGACTCATGGATTAAAGCTGTTCAAAAAACATTCTTACTGTTACTCAACCACATATTGCACTCATCAGTTCCTTGACAAAGCTGGAAACACAAAGGATATTGAACTAAAAATACATACTGTAGGAAAAGTGCAACTCATAGCACATCACAGCCAAATCTCAAACCTCTTTCTTTACATGTGGATTAGCTTGTCCCCCCATTACAAAGTAGTTGTGAGAAAGTTCCTCAAAGTTTTTTAACCAACAGTACTAGGACAGTAGCAGTTTAAAGTATTACCTTCTATGTAAAGATCAGGGCACAACATAGTACAGTAATATAAAGGATGAAAAAAAAAGAAAAAAAAACACTAAGAAACTCTTAGTGTCATTTACAAAGAAATCTCTAGAATGAGATGTTTCCTAAATCCTGGATGTTTTGGATAACTAGCCAGTCACCAAATGATCAAAACCCAGTCTACATTTGCGGTCATCGTGCCATCTGGATGTCACTTTATTGGGTCCACAGCTCATTCTTTTCACTACAAAGTACACGGTGACTCAGCCAGAGCGTGCAGCACGCTTAAGCGTCAAAGGAAAACGTCCATGGCTGCAATGAGGATTTTTATCATATATATGCATTTCCACTGCAGGTATTAGCCATGTACAATAAAGTTTACTACATCAGGTTATTAAACAGACATATTCCAAAACTATTCTCATTTTGAATAATAAAAAAAAAAATCGTGGCCAGCTACATATCAATCTGAAATGCCACTTGTAGCAAGGCTTACAGTGCAGTGTCTAATTGCAGTCTGCAGGACCAGAGGACCACTTGCTCCATTGGGTTTTTAAGCTGGTCAAAGTGAAGTTTGACTCCCCCCTCCTCTCCAATGTTAAAAAAAGTAGTTCTAACTTGTATAAAACTTTCTTTACACTCAAATTATTGCATAAACTTGAATTTTCTTTAAAATCCTTTTGCATATAATGTCATCCAGACTCCAGCTACAGCTCATGTTTCTCTTCTTGCCTTCTTCTTTTTGACTTGCTTTGGGGATTCCCAGTTTTCCTCAGATTTTTCTAGAAGAAATGGAAAATGCATTTAACTTCAAAAAATTAAGGTGTGAACGTCTAAAATACTATAGAAGCAACTTAGCATTAGAAACTGCTGTCAAGGGCTAAGCGTAAAGGTATTTGTTTGAACCATTACAGTGCATGCAGTATTCGAACCGTGAGCGCAGGGGACAGCTGGTAAGAAGCCATCAACTGCAGAGTCATTTCCTCCCCTGCCATAAATCACAAACCACATGACCAGAATGCTTTTAAGCAACAAGGATGGGGTGGATTCTGGCATCCTGCTGGGTGACAGAAAAGCAAAGCTTGCACAACCCTGACTCTCAGTGCAAGTACAGCTGGAATCTGAATCTCAAATATGAAAACTACAGTGCCACAAACTTTAAAAATGTCTGAAGTATTATTTTTTAACAGATAATGACAGGTGAGGCAAGTCACTATTGTGTAATTTAAGTGACATGCTGCAATTTTTAGCACTAGTACCAGTTTAATGAAGTGTGTTATGAAAAAAAAAACATTTAAGAAGCTGAACAGAATACTGAGAATTGGCAGCCCACCACAAAGGTCAAAGCAGCAGAAACGATACAAAAATGAAGGACTCACTCTGCAAAGGAGTTGGTTGACTGGCCTGCTTGACTGCAGATTCTGCTTCAGTTGATCTCCTCGGTGCTTGCTTAGCTGGTTTGGGGAGGACGCTCTCTTTTGCGTGCACTGCTGGTTTCTCTGCCTTCGCCTGCACAGGGCAGAGTGTCGCAGGGGCAGCCTTCGGGGAACGGCCCTTGCGGAGCGATTCTGAGCCATCAGCAGCACGAACCTCAGGTGATGGCACTGGGACAGATATGGCAGGCCTTGTAGGCGGGGTTGGCTCCTGAACCTGCTGGAGGAAATCCTCCTTCTCCGGCTCCCCAGATTCCTATAAATAAGGCAGATAACAGTGCTTAAATTCTGCCAAAACTGTACCTCTGTCAAGCCTTATGACTAGGGCCCAAGGCCCTGCTTCAGTGCCATGACTGGTGGACGCCAGTGTGCTTACCAGAGCAGCTGTGCCTGTCTCTTCTCCCTGTTTCTTCTTCTTTTTCTTCTTCTTTTTAGATTTTCCGCTGCCTGCTGCAGCAGAGTCCTCCTTCTCCTTTTCGTCATCGGAGCCCTGAAGAACAGAGACAAGGGCCCAAAATGAATGACAGGTTAAACTGCGTAATTACTGCCAAGTACTACATTTGCATGCAAATCAATATTCATTGTTGCATCTGAAAAATATTAGGGAAGCACAAACACAGCAACACAGCACAAAACACTGAACGCATCACTCTTACAGCAGCTTTACACAACTACGCTACCACATGCTGTTTATGGGAAAATGCTATTTACTATCCAGCTTTCTATATTAATCACAATACTCAAGTGTTACTTATAGGGGTGTTTCCCAAACCAGTAGTCAGGGACCCACAGTCGATCCATATTTGTGCTCCCTCCCAGACAGTCCACATTTCAGCTTGTGGAGTATACGTAGGTCCCCAAGGACCAGACTGGGAAACACTGGCTTATAGTATTGTAGCATATACAATGATTTCAAAACAAAGTTCCACTAGGCTGTTCTGGAGGGACTGACCTTCACGGCCTCTGGGTAAGGCTCCTCAGATGGGATGTCGGCTTCCTCATAATTGCCCCACCGTACAGAGGGAGCATTCCAGTCAGAGCTTGGGTCCTCAACCATTCCATCTGTAAGACCAGTGTCAGGATTCTAGCAGTATATTCCAGCTTTTATACCCCCCATAAATTTCAAAATGCTTCAAAAAGTTGAATTCTGCACACAATACAGGCTGTCTCGCTGGCTGTGGAGTTCCTAAGCTAAATCAGAGTGGGGCACACTACTGTCAAGCTCCTACCCAGAGCCTCCTGGCAGAAACGCAAACTGCTCCTGTGGCAGACAATGCCCCACTACTTCAATTATATTCAGGCAGTTTTCTCCAAAACTTGGATCACATGAGCCATCACAGAATTTTCCCCAAGATCTTACTAGCCCCGGTGCTCTTTCAAAAAATGAAAACCAAAGACATGTGAAGTTATTTCAGCACCCAAAAGAAGAATAAAATGTGCTGCTTACTCAGGCCAGACCATTCATCATCGACTTTGCGTTGGCTTTGACTTGGCCACTCCAGGTCAGGCACAGCCTGCGGCTCAGCAGCTTAGAGGGGAAAAGGGAAAATGTTCCATATATAGTAGCTACACTCGACTACAAGGAAAAATAAGACATGGTCAATACAATTAAAAAGCGTTTCAGTGTATTTTTTTCTCCATAGGTGAGCAGGATGCTCCCCCTACTGGTGTAACATTAACAGTGCCGTTTCAGTACCATCTATTGCAGAGCCATAAAGAAATACTTGCACTTACGCTTGACGTTTCCTATAATCCAGCAATGCAACTTACCGATGGGCTTCACTGATCGGGTACTAATGGAGACTGGATTCTGGTCAGACTTCTTCCCCCGCCCATCCACAGCACTCCATGACCCTAATTCGGATTAGCCCATTAACTGAATGCTATCCTACAAGCAGCTGGTGTTTGCAAAGGACAGCATTTGATTGAGTGCATTAAACAACCTAGTAACAACTGGGAATACCTGAACTACAATACTATGTTTGGCAACTTATCTTCTCTGGAATTATGAATGCTGGCTTAAGCCAACAGCTACTGCACCAGTACCTTCATTTTCTTGCATCCAGGCTGCAGATTCTGGATTCCGGCGAGCAGCCCCTTTTGGGAGAGGGGTCCAGGTCTCTCCGTCCAGGCTGCTTACTGGAGCCGAGATTTTTGGTGTCCCCTCATTCCAGCCCCGGCCATTAACAGCCGGCATTTCGTTCCAGCTGGCTGACACTGTGGGAAGTGCACCAACAGGCAGTATTTTCACCCAGGACGGCCCAGCATGGCTTTGGCTCCACACGACAGAAAAACCGTCACCCACTGAACAGCCCTTGCAGAGATGGCCAGCCATGAGAGCCTCAGTGTATACAGCTCTCTTGTCACCATCAACCTTATCAGGTGATATGACTAACTGCTATATCAAAATCAACATGCCTGCCAAAGTCCAATTGTCTCTAAGACCACAGACCTGAGCAACAAGGTGTGGTTAGCTCTAAGCCACAGCAATCAATTACTTTGATAAATGAATCAGGCTTTAAGCTGATTGGATAAACACCTTGGGTTATGATGAGGTCTCCCTTCCCAGGCTTGGAACGCAAAGGTTCTCCTGAGGAGGGAAATAAAAAGCACTACGTGAGAACGCACCCACAGAAAAACGACCACCGATGAAGTCTACAAAAGAGTTTCTGCAATCTTTCACCAGGTTCCAAACAAACAAAGAGTGAATTCAAGAACAACAATGTATTCCCCGGACAGCCCAGTCACCCTACCACCCACCTAATCCACCCCCCCCTCCCCCACCTCTACGTTCTCTAGTCCCCTAAGCAGCACTGTTTCAGTATTGGTGCAATTTCTCTCAAAATGAAATAGGTCCTTACCAGATCATTACCTACAAAACGACCCCGAGGTTTCATAAGATCCACCAAAATATGCCCCTGGGATCAATAAAGTTAATCTTACATTTAAAAATCTGCAGCCGCCCAGCACCACTGCTTCAGTTTTGGTGCAATTTGGGTCTCAAAATTTGATTAGTTTAGATAATCACCCATAAAATGGGTTAGCAAAGTTTGAAAAGGATCTGTCAAATATTTCAAGTTATCATGCTGAGATCAGGTTCCTGTGGTGGCAGGAAAAAGAAAAAGGCTTGACAGTCACAAAAACATTTCAGTACTTATTTCAATAACGTCACCAACTACGGAAACGCACCAGGTGCACAACTGTCCCATCGGCAGCCCAGAACTAGCAAAAGTCCACAAGTGCTCATTGGCTTAAGAGCCACAGGCTACTGTGCTGGCAGGTGAACTATTTATAGCAGTTCTACACAACAACAGGGAACGGGGTGAGGCAGGTAACGCCTCCCAGGGGTCTGCAAGTGTGAGGTTAACCACCACCAAGCATAGAAAACTTAAATGTAACAAGTGTTTGGAAATTCATTGGAGAGGAATAACAAATGGATATATTAACATCCATGGTCTTAAGCAGAGCATACAGGGAGAGCAGGTAACTCCTCCCAGGGGTCTGCAAGTGTGAGGTTAACCACCACCAAGCATAGAAAACTTAAATGTAACAAGTGTTTGGAAATTCATTGGAGAGGAGTAACAAATGGATATATTAACATCCATGGTCTTAAGCAGAGCATACAGGGAGAGCTTTGTTCTGTTCAAATGTGTTGATATAAAGTGTGGTCTCAGTCTAATCCAGAGGTAGCCAATCATCCACAAAGGGCCGGTGTGTATGCAGGATTTTGGGATAACCTGTAGGTCAGCTGTTCAAACCCAGGTGTGAGGACTCTCTCAGCCAATCAGTCCTTAATTAGTAATCTAATTAGGGAGTTGCAGCGAAAACCCGCACACACAGCGGCCCTTTGCAGATAAGATTAGACCAGGGGTAGCCAATCAGTAAACCTGAGTCAGTCAGGAGAGGAACCTATTAAAAAATAAATATGGTAGAATGATCAAAGAACACTGAAGTTTTCCCTTTGTTGGTTTAAAAGCAAATATTTAAGTTTGATTCAAAACTGCTGAGACACTGGAGTAATTTAAGCTTTAAACCCCCCTAGAGATAAATGCCCGTTTTCTGTTAGACTGACTATCACAGCCAGAGTGCAAAGAGTTCTCCCCCCATGTATTTGTACAAGGTTTCTGTAGGTTTCAACAAGGAAAATAAGTCCCAAATTACTTGCAAAGTAAATTATTCACATTCACCATGAACATTCTGCAATTTTTTGGTGAGAGGAGACGACACCACATTAACTCTCACTACATGGTGACACTAGCTGGGTGCGCTCTGATAAATTCTCAGCAGGCTGCACAGTTTGTGGTTATTGGTTGTGGTGGTTTCTGTGGTTTTAGTACAGTGTGATCAATGCAATTTTTTTTTCTTAAATGCACATTTAAAAGCAAAACTTAAAGTTAATGCAACATTATAAAAGTAACGTTGAGTTCATAATCCAATCAATTCAAGTCTCGTCAAAATTGTATTTAAGACATTAAGACATTTTTAGGCCTAAAATTCAGATTATTGGATTTTTAAGGGCATACTCACATCTGGTTACCTTGTACCATGCCCGATCACGATTGCCTCCTGACTACCCATCTGGTCTGTGCTCATATCACACAGATAACATAGGAACATGCCATCTCGCAGCAGAATGGAATTCATGATGGATGGACTGACATTCTTATTTTGTGGTTTATTTGGAATCATTTGGAGCTTGAAGACCTGCATTATGCTCTGCTGCATTTTAAGGAGTTAGATAATCAAGCATAATGCGCTAAAGTGGGAAGTTTTTTTTTTTTTTGAGAGTGTGACAGTGGAGTGAGCGAGTTTGATCATTGAAGAAATATATTTTACAGTTGTGCATGCTTGTGTGTTTTTGCCCCCCTTATTCATCAGCACAGCACCCTCTCAAAATCCAAATAATAAATCATATCCATTCTGACCCCCCTGTCCCCCCTAGCTCCCGAAAACTCTCCCAACATTATTTTTTCAGAACAAAGTTTTGCAAGAACAAAATGATGAAAACTGCACAGCGTAGCTAGTCTTTTCCTTCCGGATTTGGCTCATGTATTGTACATGTGCGTTTGCATCCGTACCGTGCCCGAGTCTGACTAATTACGCTCTGGCCTACCTACGGTTAAGCGTACCACGCTCAGGCACGGTGCAGATCAGCTCCAGTGACTATACCCTACGACCTAAAGGACCCACAGAAACCCTGCTGTAGATGGAAGTGACTCAGGAACCAATCTTTCAATTCTGATTATTACATGTAGCTGAGCAATCAGAGCATTAAACAAGATTGAAGCCAAACTTCCCATCAAGCAAAGGGAAATTCCTACATAGAGATATTGGGACAAATCAGATACTCATCATAGGATAAATCAGGGTGCCAAGGATGCATCTGGCACTATTGGCACCATACCTTTGTTCTTTTTCTGCACCACAGGGGCAGCAGCAACTGTGGTTTTAAGGGGCTCCACTGAGATGCTGGTTGCAGGTTCCACTCCCCCAGGACTGCCTGAGTCATCGCTAGCCGTCTTGTCCTTTCTGCGCTGCTGTCGCTTCTCCCGGTTACTGATCTTTGTCTCCCAGGCGCCTGGCAGACACAGGGGAGAGATTATGGGGAGGAGGATGGACTGAAACACACTCTTGTTTTCACCAAACACAAACAGAATTACAAGAGGCTCAAATTAATTAATCAAACTCAAAATTAAGGTCACAGAGCAACAATTCAGCTAATCACACTATCCTTAATACCTTTAGGTGGAACATTTAAGAATCTGTTTTAATCATTTAAAATTAATTGCTCTGACTGCCGTGACATTACATGATCAAAGTGTGATTTTTTAAAAGCAGTTTAATCTATGGAGACGCTATCAAGGCAGTGCTAATAATGAGCAGAGGTTAGGGTGTCAGACATAAGGGATTTCTTTAATATTTAGATCTGCCACTGAGCAGAGTATTGACTGGCATTGAATTGAGGGGTTTTTAAACTGCCAAGCAGATTAGTGCAAAGTTAAGCTTTTCTAAACGCCAAACTACTCATTTCTAATGGACATGTGGTCACCAACCATACCTTCATCGGGCTCCTTGCCATCATGGGTAGAGGCGCTTTTCGTTTGGTTCACTTCAGCCTTCTGCTTCTTATTCTTCTTCTTTGCCTATTGAGAAGTTAAAGGTGGGTATCCCCACTTTTTAGACCCTTTAAAGAAAAATGATGTATTTTGGAGAATACAAACGTCTGCACACACTTAATGGGCAAGCTGTCAAATGGCACTGAAGGCACTTAATTCAAACTCCAACACGACCAGGAGATACACATAAAAATGGAGATCCAGAGTGTTCAGGTATCAATCAATGAAGAGCTCAAATAGACTACAGCTGCTACCATATGGGAAAAACCATCAGAAGCTCCCCCCCCCACATCCCCTAAGGGCAGAGTACCAGCTGCATTTGCTACATCTGCATGTTCAGAAGGCAATATGACACTGTCCAGCAGCTCTTCCAAATCACTGTTATTTTAGGGACCCCAGAGAACCCCACAAACCTATAGTGTGAAGCTGCTCAATTTATTCCATCAGCATGCCTCAGAGCAAGGGGGCACATTTCAGGGATACTTCTCAATATAAAATGTCACAGGCTAAAATGAAATGACCACAGCAAGCTACACAATACCTTATTTTCAGGTCACATCAATCTCTCATTAGTCCATGAGAATAACTTCTGCAGTTTTACAGAAGTGGAATATAGGAACCTCATCTTGGAGGCACAGGTACACTGTAAGCTCAAAGTCTTTGTTAAGTTTCCCCATTAGGTTAACATGCCATTTTAAAAGCTCACAAACCTTCTCAGTCTTAACTTCCACTGTCACCTTCAGGTTTTCCTCTGCATCTTTGACTTCCTCTTGCAGCTCTGTCACTGTTCGGCCGTTCGGCTGTGGTTTCTGAGCGGTAGGGCAATTACAGGTCATGGACGTCAGAAGTACTACCAAACATAACCAACCATTTCGGCAGGCACTACAAATTACCGTTTGGTGTAAATCGTACCGATAAGCACGCCATGCAAAATCACGTCATGAGTTCGGTAACATGAGAAGAATTTCAGAAGAACATAATTTGGTTTACAACACAGACATAAACCTCCGCACCTTGGGGCAAATACGGAAACCGCAGCCACCCCCCTCTCGTGACAGACATCCCTGTCGCAACCTAGCTGCTCAATAGAAGGCAAAAAAGTGGCCAGCTTGGCAAACACCCCTTGCCACGCCAATGCCTAACGTGATCTTTGCCCGGCCAAATTTTAGATATGGAAAAAAAAAAGAACAAATAAGGTTCTAAAAAACAAAGCCGTGAAATCGGCGCGGCCTTTCATGCGCCAGTTCGCTAGCTGCTCTACTTGGCAGCTAGTACCGGTTCAGCTCAGATCGCCACATAAAAATCCCTCTTCCTGAAGACACCTTCTATCACGGGTCTTTACGAACCGTTTACTGGCTTGGTGGCTGGTTATGGACACAACGGAATAACTGCTAGAGACGAGCTACAGGCCAGCTAGCTTAGGGCTACGCGGTGAACCGTACTAGCAGCCCAGTTCGCGTAAAACGCAGGCTGACTACCGGTCTTTTTTCTGGCTTTGTGGAAGCGATCTTAAATATTAAACCAATTTCTAAGCCATCGAACCGAACCGCCCCATATATTCCTGATCGACATTTTAAAACAATCCCTTTCATTGTCGATCACCCGCCAGCCGACGTTAGAAGATATACAAGCTATCAGCGCTTTTCTACACCGAAATTTTTTGAATATGTACATATAAGCCACAGACAATTTAAACTGTTAGAGAAGAATATAAACCGGGAATAAGAATATTTAGATAAACGGCACCGCATATTACTAATCCGTCGGCACAACGCGAGGTAGCTTAACTGGCTACGTGTCACTGGGAGCGAAAGCACCCTGTGCTGGACAGCAGCTCGGCTCTCGGGCCGTCCGCCTCACCTTATCAGCGGGCTTCTTGCGGCTCCTCTTCTTCTGTTGCTCGTCAGTTTTCACAGCCTTGGCCGCAAGGACCTTGGTGTTGTCGGGGCTCGCCTCCACGCCGGTTCCGCCCGGCCGCCTCTTCGCGCCGAAGACAGCGCCGCAGACTGCGGCCCAGAGCAGCGCCAAGGCCAGCGGCCCGGCCAGCGCCGCGACGAGGATGGCCCATGTCGGATAAAGCTCGGGCTTCAGACCCAGATCCACACCCAGTCGGGAGCGCAGCAGACCCAGGCCAGAGGAGAGGAGCTCCCTCACATGATCCGACACCACTTCTCCCCACTCGGTCGCCACGTCCTGCCAACACGCTGCCATTTTCGCACCGCGAGTGACAGACACACACTAGTACAGCAGCACGATCGACGCTGTGGGCGAGGAAAGCAGTAGGAGGCGAAGTGAAGAGGGCGGGCGAGGGAGGGAGGGGACAGTCAGCCTGACAGCATCGTCCCCAGTGTGCGGATGAACGTTAAACAGCAATATTAAAATGCGTACCCGGGGAAAGCGGAAAGAAAGACACCTGGGCTCGTCTCGGTGCTGATATCTCGAACGGGCCCGCACAGAGATGAGACGGGAAAAATCCAACTTGAAAGTGTTGCGACAATGATTTTATAAATATAGATATATATATATACTGTGGCAAAATAAAAGAAGCTCGTCTCCAATCGGACTGTCGCAAAGTCCAGCGCCTAAATATACTCAAAAAGGGGCTGCTAAGGCAACCGACTTTGAGTGCAGGCTCACGATAAATGCAACGTCACCATTAAAATGGCAGGGCGGGGAGCGCCGCGGAGCGCTGGGGGGGCGGGGGTAGTCGCGACGGGGGAATCCTGGGAAGGCTCGCGGGATGGTGAGGGACTTCCCGGCTTCGACGCGCCGGTGTGCTGTCCAGCCTACGGATAAATGGCTGTGTGAGTATGTCTTTTATTAGTATAAGGCTTACTTGTCACAACTTAATATTTACTAGTAGAAATAACATTCTTACTAGTAAAAATGCAATATAAATTCAAGATATCCACAATGCAGTTCTTACTAGTAAGAATATTTTTTACTAATAAGAATTCATATTATAGTGTTCTATAATTCACTTTTTACTAGTCATGTAATGTATTCCAATTTACTTCCATGCCATTGTAGATACCTTACGGTTGTTGTCCGCCACCGTGGCTTCGGATTTGCCCTGCCTTAATGAGGAACACATATTAACTCTTCGTTTATCACCTGCGACCGGAGACGACACACTCGGTGATGATTAAAAGGAAATGTTAGACTAGCGGTTTTCAAGTTTGCAAGAATTTAGTGAAACTGTGGCCTGTACTACGAAGCAGGGTTACTGGCTTATCGGGGTAACTTGTCGGATTTAAGATAGTCTGGGCAAAATGTAAGTCAACGAATATGAATTCCATTTAAACTGCGGTACCTTAAATCCGACAAGTTACCCCGTTAAGCCAGTAACCCCGCTTCGTAGTCTTATTTCACGCCCGTAGCCTTAAAAGATACTACACGGGGAAAGCTGTATTATCAAACCGCCACCGACCGACCTCCATTCGCCTAATGTGTGTAGGTTCATCTACAAAACAATGTCCAGTTATTACCATAGTAAACGATCTCCCTTATTGTGCGATATGGGACACACAACAATACATGCCAACAATACAGTTACCTGTCAACAATACATTTAGGTGTCACTACAATCCATCTGCAAAACATCTTGCTTTGTAAAAAGTGATAAAAGCACAGGGTTACCAGGTCTCACGCATCTGGCGTGACAGGCAATAAATCTTACGGCAAATCTGTATTATTCCATTATAAACCAAAAATTATCTACATTAAAAGCGTTGGGGTAGTTTGCAAACCATAGACTTTGTAAAAACGATTACATATATGTAAATGCGTGTGCATGTACGGGCAGATTTGTCTCGAATTGAAAATTGGCACCAGCGAGCTGACCAAGCTTGACGATACTAAAAAGCAGTGTCGGTCACAGCACATGCATGTGGCGCCGGGAGCGCGCTTCACCGCCCAGTCAAACTTCATCCCCCACGCTTCCTGTGTCGCTTAATTGGTCGACCGGCACTGAATACCAGCTGAAGTCATAGGTTGTTCCCGAAGAAAGCCTTCAACAGTTGTACTATTTTCATCCACCTACTGCGTATCCTGCTCATGGCCGCAAAACCACGCATGAATTAAACAGATATGCGAGATTTTAAATAACGCGCCGCACGTTGTTAGCGTATGTATTGCTGGTGACAGCCCTAAGAGCACATTTGTTCTTCAAACTGCCAAATACGTTTTATTTAAAAATTAAGATGAAAGCTGCAATACCCCCACCCCATAATCAGAGAAATAACAAATAAATATTTTGCGTCCAAGTTTATTTTTGAAACTCCCTACTCCCCCTATACAAATTACTTTTGACAAAGGCAGCAGTGAACTTTCAATATTACGTATTCTGTCCAGGGCAAAATAAATCATAATCACAGTGTAACTATTTTAAATTTTAATATTTATTCTGTCATCTTTGGCTAGGTTCTGCAGACAGTTTACTGTCCGACCAAATTCCTAGGAAGTTACAGTTCAAGCTGGTGATGCAAAGAGCTGTACAGGAATGTACATATTTTTTTTTTTTCCAGGAAAACACAAGTTACCTGCATTTAGGACACAGAAAAATGATCAACCAGGGAGGCAACAGCCTTTCTAATGTTGTAAAGACAAAAAAAAATCATAATAAAACTAACAGTACACAACAGGAAATGTGTTAAGCTCTACACAAAACCAAAGTTCTTCGTCTTGATTGCTAGTAGGAGTTTCTGTTTGAGGATCTGTTTGGAAGAGTATAGCGGCACGTAGAGGCGGGAGATGCAGGTGTTGGCGGTGGGAAGGTGCTGATCGTCGGGGGGTCGGATGGTGATGGAGGGCATAGGCTGGAAGCCCTCCTCGCTGGCTGGCAAGGATGGACTGGATGTCCAGAAGTACACCTGTAGGTTGATAGAGTGGGGTACTCAGTCTTACCTAGATTCTAAACATGGCATGAAAACCACAAGGTGCTGGTACAAGGTGTGTGGTTTAGCATGTGATGTAACCAGAAGATACTATGTGAAGGAACCCACCAGATCCTGCCTCTCAGCCACACTCATTTTTTCCACGATTGACCAAAACCAGCGCTTGAACTGCAGTAGTTTCTCTGCATTCTCCCCTGTTCGAATTCAAAAATAAAACAATGAAAATGTGCAAGAAAAAAATTACATATGCAAGACACAGCATGAAATGGGAACGTGACAGTGTTAAGAATGGCGCTTAATTATGGAACTGCAAGGATCATCCATATTATCCAAAATGAAACTCCTGATCCCTCCATTACCACCTCATGTGAACAGCATACCAGATTCATCGTTGAAGGATGTGAAGCTGATGAGCATCTGCACGTTGACCTCTCCACACCCATTCACCAGAAGCCTGAAGTCTTCGGCTGTCAGGTCCTCTAGGGCATTTTTGGGAAGCACGTCCAGGAGGCCTTTCCTCATTGCCTGGAGTAAAGGGGAAGTTTTTATTATGGGAAGTGAAAAATCTCATGACCCACTTCTCACTGGTTATTTTATGTGCGTGCCTCTGGATGTGCGCCTGGTAGCGACTGACAACGTGCAGTACACATCCCTCCTACTGCAGATAAGGTGGAAATGCAAGAAAACCGTCTCCTGAAATGCTAGCTGATGCCCCCACATGTGCAGCCACACTTACATGCAGAGGCTGTTCAGCTACCACCAGCATCCGATGTTCCGCATACTTTCTCACGTATTCGTACACATTCAGGGGTGTCACGGGGATGTAGACACCTCCAGGTAGGAGCTCCACCTAAAACAAGGGAATTATCAAAGCTGGCATTTGCCTTCACTCAGTTATTCTATTCAACATGCATGACTTTTACTGCTCTACTTGAAAGTTTGATCTTTCATTAATGGCGTTAAAATCGAAACACATATTTCTGGCGAGCACACCGCCACCGCGTGTAAGGTTTCAACCAACTGAACTCAGCAACATGCAATATGCAAAAATGCCCACAACAGTTCTCTTTACCTGGCCGCTCCCTTCCTCTTTGCAGAGGTCGATGGCGAAAGCCAGATCCATGGCGGCGAACGCTGCCTCTGCCTCGTTTGTCTGAGAGTGACGGATCAGCTGTCGCAGGCTCTCGTACATCACGGGATCAAAGAATGCGAAGTCGTGCCAGTTTACCTGAGCATGACACACACCGTTGGCCACCGGTACACAAAACACACACACACACACACAAACACACACGAGTCTGCCTGTGCTGCCTTTACCTTTCTCCCAAGCAGCACCTTGATGGTATGTCGGTTCAGCGTGATGGGACATAGCTCATTCTGCAACAGGCACAAGCCAAGCATTCTGGAAGAACAGAAATGAAATTTCGAAACGATTTTCTTCTTTTCCACCTTGGCACAAACCAGAGCACAAACGGGCTGGTCCACACCTGCCGATGTTGCGAAAGCAGTTGAGCCGTGCCTCTGTGTTCTTCCCGGGTCGGGGGGAGTAGAAACCCCTCCGACCGGGCTGGTAGAAGAGGGGGGCGCTGTCGTCACTGTCGTCCCCATCATCCAGCTCCATGTCCACCACACTGCGGCTCGAGCCGTGCTGTTTGCGACTCTCCTGCTGCTGAACGATAGAGTGTTAAAATGGGGGGGGGTCCACAAACCTGGACATAAGCTTTAAGGAGCATGAACCGGAACCCTACCTGGGTCTTTGAGGCATCTGACAAACCAAGGTCTAATATGCTGTCTGCACCATTTTCCCTGAAGGAGAAGAAAAATTAATAACTACACTACTACTGAATGACCAGTCAAGCAAGGCAGGAAACGCCCAACATGGCCGCACCTTCCATGTGCAATGATGAGCTCCATGGCCTCCTCCACCCGGGCCCGGAGGGAGTCCTCGCTGGCCAGGAGCAGCAGCAGCTGAGCTGGGGACAACTCCAGCAACATCCCTGTAATCTTGCTGGCAAATGCCTATATGACGCAAGACAAGGCTTCCTTCAAGTCTCAGCAAGATATTTTAATGATTACTGTCATTAGCCTATTTTTCAGGATTTGCAATACCAGAGGCACATTCCTATAGATCTCACTGCATTAAGGCTGTTTTGGGTGGGATCTGCTCTTAGTAGATACCCGTTTTAAGGTGATATTATGGATAAATTCAGCTGACTGGCGGAACTTCTTACCCTCCTCTGTTTGGTCTGTTTAAAAAACAGTTTGTTGTTTTTTTTTTTTTTTATAAGTTCTGTTTTGGGGAGGACAGGAGGGACATACCGGCTGCATGGCATTCACCCGCGGGTACAGCCTCTCTCCCAGCGCCTGTCTGTGAGCGGGCAGAGGGTCTGCATCCTCGCTTGGGTTTCCTTCAGCTGCGGGCCTGAAGGGCCGAGTATCGATGGACAGCTGTCTCCTCGAATCTCTGGCACACAGACAGGATGGCGGAGGGACAGCCAGTTACAGAGCAGCTCGGTGAGATTTGACTGCACGGTCTGTAGAATCTGGGCCTATACTTTGGTGACTGTCATGGGGGGGGGAGTTCTCACCTGTCACGGTCTCGGCGCGAACTGGTTCTCAGCCCCCCACTTCTCCTCTCCCTCTCCCGGTCTCGGTTCCTCAGGCGCTGCATCAGACCTGCACATGGGATGCTGACTCGTTAGGCTATACAGGGCTACATCTGAGAACCACAGACATACATTATAATAATGTGTAAATGTACATTAAA